GTGTGATATAAAATTCTTTCTCCTCAAAGATCCAGTAAAAAAGTAATAATAAATCATTACCTTTTATCTATGTTTAATTTCACTTATTATATAGTATGTGGGCGTAGGGAGATGGTGGCCCCATCGCCCGGTCCTAGTACCGCGGAAAGCCACTGGCCCTCCAGGTTGGGGGAACACTACTCTGACACTCACATATTTATACTAACTACAGCACACTACATTCAACCCCACACTAAAGACAAAGATCATCAACAGTACTCATCCTCGGGTCACCTTTCCTAGGTAGTCGCTCCCCGGATAGGGGAGCGAGTCAGGGAGCTCTGAGGAGGCAGCCCCTCCACTTGACTCAATGGCAGTTGGCTGATAACCAGCTCCCCTTAAATTACTGTATCACGAAACCTAAAACAGCCTCAGAGTTGATCAGTCTCTCAAGGAAATGACCAGGCACCCCCAATGGTAAGAACTTTGACATATGATACTGGAACACCTTGTCCTTATATCAACCTGGAGCACTGAAACTGCTCCTAGATTTAATAGGTTTTTACAAATTGGGGATAGTTGCCATCCAGGAAATCCGATGGACTGGCCAAGGCATAATGCAGAAGAAGAACCACACCATATTTTAGAGCTGTCGTGAGAACACCTACAAGTTTGATGTGGGGTTCGTTGTTACGAGTAAATTCAGACAGCTGGTGATTGGATGGAAACCTGTGAGTCCCAGAATATGCCACATCAGAATACGGACAAGGTTCTGCAATTACAGCTTCATCTGTGTGCACGCTCTCACGGAAGTAGGTGATGATGAAGAAAAGGACAGGTTCTACGATTCTCTTGAAAGAACCCTGATCATCGCTGCAGACTTTAATACTGATTGGTAAGGAAGAGATCAATCGCACTACTATAGGGCATCACAGCCTTCACATACAAACTAACGAAAATGGCCAGCGCCTCGTCAACTTTGCCGAATCCAAGGGAATGGTTATTGAAGAGACACTCTTCCCGCAAAGGAGGATACGTAAGGGAACCTGAAGATCACCTGACAAGAACTCCAAAAACTAGATAAACTGTTTTATTGATACCTTGAGTTGTTCTTGGAGTTTTCAAGAATATTTTCAGTTGGCACAATATATATTTTTCACTGATTTTATTAAACAGTTCAATTGGAAAAAAAAATTGATTTAGCCGATGTAACGAGTTTTCCCTTACTCGTCCCACTGTGCAGGCACCAGGACACGAACTCGTACTTATTTTATCAATCATACCATTGATCAGATAGCTGGACAACGGCAGTGTTGTGACTGTGGGCTAACGCGATAAATATAGTTAGTGAAAGTATTACCATCGTGAAAACTTCGAATCCAAATTTTTAACGAAAATACAAGTTTTGATGTTCTCTGAGTCCAAACAACCAATACAACAAACCTAAATGGTTTGTTAACCCGAAAACCAACTAATCTTATGAAACTGTAATTATATATTTAAAGGATGTATGTGCTTGGGATATTACAATAACTTTTTTGTCAAAAGCAGCATATCAGAAGTCTCAGTTGATATCATTGATTTTACATATAATTACTATTTTTTTCAAACAGCTCTAACAATTTTGATTAAACTCGTTATATTGATATAAAATTAAATCGTCATTAATATCAGCTAGGTCTGATTCATTGATCACTCTTACTGGGATTAAGTGTCAAATCTTCAAAATTTCTTGCTCTGAAGTACATGTATGGTTTATTTGAAATAATAGGTCTCACATTTTCAATAGTAATACAAACTAAATAAATATTAACTAATGAAAGAATTTGCCAATTGACTAAAATAGGTTTTTCAGGTTGAAAGCAAATTTCTGGCAATTTCACAATATGTATGTATAATATCTGTGGTACCTAAGAATAGCTTATTAAGTGCAATTGTGATAATTTGTTACGGGTATCACCAGAAAACCAATTTTCCTCTCTTTCTTTATATCTAATAGGCTATGTTATACCGCTATTACAGAGACAAATATATCTTTGTGAATTATTAGTTGAAACTGGAAAATTGAACTTGCTCCTGAGAAAATAAACTTTCAATTGCATTTTTTTTTTCCGAAAATAAAATATTTGCACTTAAAACACTATGCACAGGTGCCACAGACATATTGTTGAAAAGCTGTGGATTTTAGAAAAATATCTGATAATTAATGATATGGGCTCTACTATTAAAGGATTGCAAAAGAGTAATTACCAATCACAGTAATTAATAATGTATTCTTTTATGTTATTGAGCATAAAATAAATGTTTCCGTGAAATCTAAATGGAAAACTTGTAAAAAATCGTCTATTTAATTTAATTTATAATATTGATACATAGCAATCCTATCAAACTTTATGTTAAGCTTCTGAATTAAAATGTCATAAAAAAAAATAATTAAAATGCAACATTGGAAATTAAAATCCATATAACAATCAACTATCAACAATACATAATCTAATACAACAATTAATTACGATTAACCTAAATCTTGAGGAAAGAAAAATAAGGACTAACATAAATAGTAGAAAATTTAAACATAATTAACAAAAAAACTACAAAAAGGTCTCCAAAATTAACCGACAAATAATTAAATATATTTGTTTAAATTTCCCTTAAATTAGATAATGTACTGGTACATACAAAGAATGAAGTAATGTAGAGAAACTTGAAAGGTTAAAGGTATGAAGGATAACTAATATATACCAGACTGATTGATTTCATATATTTAATTTCAATTAAAAATAATATATGTATATACATAATTATACATGTACGCATATTATTTCTAACTGTTCATATTTTATTATAGAGTTGAAATTTACGTTATTCATTTTGAAATTTGTTTCTGAAACATTGTTTCTTCTATCCCTATACATCTTTTAATTGAGAAAAAGGGCATTCAACATGAATTGATGTAAGGGGACTCATTTTTTAACGAGCAGCCACTGCTGATTTTTTGTGAACATTAACATTTATACCGTTAATGTATTCGTTATATTTTTTATAAGATTGTAACCTATATTTTTTTCTATTACGGAGTACAATTTTTGAGATATAATTTTTTCTATTCCACAATTGATTTTTTTAGATTTTAATCTATAATTTCAATTTGTTTAGTAAGTAATAAATTTCGAGATTCTAACTGAGTTAATGTTTGCGAAAAATTTGAGAAATGTGACTTTATGAATGTCGAATCAGATATTATTGATGCCGAATTCATGATAGTCTACGATTCACTTCAAAGCCGGAAGAGATACTGAAGGATTTAAGAAAGAGTGAGAATTCAAATCAAAACAAGGCAGTTTTTTTATTGAATTACTTCAGGCAAATTCTATTTCAATAATAGTTAGCCTGCACTTGTGTTTACTTTTCTATGTCTACTTTCCTCATATTTTTCTTTCTAAAATTATAAATTCATATGGAAAATATAGCAATATAGTAAGAACAAGACAGTGGTATTTATAAACCATTTAACCTAGCTCAACATATGCAATTTAATGCAACAAAAATCAAAATTGTGCAATTTAAGCAAAAAATGGCAAAATGTATAATTTCATACAATATAAAATTTAAATATGTTATTCAACAGATCCTGAAATGGAAAGATATTCGGGTCTGGAATTTTACACGCAAGCGAATAATATGTGCAATAACATGGAAATTTGGTCTCTAATCATAAGGCTTGTACCGCCTTAGCCCGAGGATACCTCTCCATCTCCTCCTGCAAGATGGTATGGAGAGAGAAGGCTTGACTGGTCTATCAGAAAATAATATAGAATAATGGAGCCAGCAGTGAATGATAACCCCATGAAAGGGACAATCCCGCGGAGGTATTGTCCAGTGGGACCAAGTCACGTCTACAAGTAAAATGGGTTTTCTAAGACAACTGGATCTCACAGTTCCTTATAGCACATGGAGGATTTCGTGCTAAGCTCCAGAAATATATATCATTGGCAGCACCAACAATGAGATATTGAGAGTCAAGTTATGGAGAGAAATAGGATTCTATGTTTTATCTGAAAGGGAGTTTCTACAGTTAGAGTAACCTTGGATAACTACATGTACTACAAGGCCATTATGTAAAAATGGAAAACAGCTGTCAGCCCAGGCCACTTCAATCTGTAAGAGAAACTGTTCCTGGAAGGCAGCCAGAAAATGAGGGCGAAATTTAAGATAAACAGAGCTCTGATTAATAAGTAATAATTAAGTGGACAACATTCAATCTTATAATTAGTAAGAGGAATGGCATATACATAGTATGTTATATATCACCACAGTCAAACTTGTTTGGTAATTGGTGACCTACCAGGATGTGATGAGGAACTTTCTCACATTCACATTCAGTAAATTTTTAAAATATGAAAAAATAAAAGAAAAATGATGCTAGAGTAATTCTTAAATTGAAAGGATTGAACTTTTTTTAAATTTAAACAACTGGTTATTTTATATTGTAATTTTTTTTTGGAGGAGATGCCTATGTGTGACGAGGATCAATAGAATTATGAACAAGGTCATTAGGGATAGGATGGAGACTCCTGAGTCTGTTAACCAGAGAATTAGACAGAGAAGGCTGATGTGATAGTCATGTACGATGAATGTCTACCAACCAATGGCCTAACAGAATTCTAGATTGGCAACCACCACCAAGGAAGAGGAGATGGCTGGCTGGGGTCTTCAGGATGGAGATTGGTTTAGCCGCAACCTCTGGAACTCAATCCTGATGTGAAAAAGCAACCCTCATTGGAACATCTGTATAAAACAAAATATATTTGGTAATTTGAAATTAATTATACTTAAAATAGAATAAATTTTGTACCACGATTTAATATTTACCTCAGAACTTGATAGCTAAGTTGACCATTGTTAGCTACAGAAGATCAACTGTCTTTAACGTTCTAATTCAGTTAATAAATGTTTATCAGTTATTCAAAAAAATATTAAGCTTTGCTGGTGTGTGAAGGAAAATAAAAATAACAAACAGTACAAGTGTAAAAATATATTAAAAATAAATTATGTACAATAAATAAGTGTGTTTTTTATAACTGACTGTTAGTTTAGGCACTAGTACAACATAATAGCTCCGTTTCCCTTTTCTTCAATTATTGGTTTAACATTTTTCTTAAGCCTCATTTCTTTTGTACCAGAAAAAATGAAAATTATGTTCACAAACTGTACAATCACTGCAGCAACAACTAGCCTAAAAATTAAGTAGTCATTACTATAATACATCATTAAATATTAAATTATATGTACATTTATAGCATTTAAAAGTTATTAAATTAAATATGACATACTTAACCATATCTCAAATAACATAAGAAACAACTGAGTATTAACTTATTGAGTTGCAAATAAAGTTTTCACCTAACAAAAATAGGATTGTTGGTATATTACGGTTCCATTCTGACATTCAAACCCGAGAATATTTTGACACAAAGTACTGGATCAATATTAATACTACACAGCAGCACAGATCAAACAACAGTATAAGCTGCATAGATGGCTCTCTTACTGCCTATGGTGCACAAGCAGGAACATAGAGTAAAGAAAAATCCTACCTCAAAAAAGTTCTTTAATCCTTCTAGGCATAAATTCTAGACATAAATATGAAATCCTAATTTTAAATGGAAACACAGTGATGATAAATAGGAGTACATGAGAAAAATTTCACCAAAACCATTATCTTATCTACATGTGACTAATTCAGTTTTATAAAGAATATAATTTAATACAGGAAGTAAATGGTCTCCAAGCCAAAACATCAGAATTGTTTTTCATTAGATTTAAGTTTCAAACAATCTTTAAAGGCATCCAATCTTATGACTGACCACCACAATCTTATCATCTTCCTGGTTGAATCACTCTATCCCTGTCAGATATGATTCAGAGGAAGCTGAGTTATCTTGGACCAACCTATTCATTGTATAGTAGTTTATCAGCCTAGTTTCAGTAGTATATCAAATATAATGGCAGACATAAATGCTGTAAGTTGCTTTTGAGTCCATTTCTCTATAAATTTTATTCTAATATACATTAATATTTGATGAAAAGTTTATTATGTACCATTTAATTCTAACAAATTTTGATAAATATATATTTATAATAATTCCTAAATTATTTAAAATAATTAAATTCATATAAACAAGAAAATTAAGAAATTGAAAAATTAATTTATGCGCCAGACATGTCATGAATATATGGGCTACGACTTAAAAACGTACTAATCATATATAACATAGAAAAGTACAGCAGAGCTATACTAGAGAATGAATTTTTGAACTAAAAATCAAGAAGTTAGAGAATGAATTTTTAAATTAAAAATCCAGAAGTTAACATGAAATAGCAGTTAAAAAAAAATTAATAACTTCTTTTAAACTGATATATTTTTAATATATATAAAAATAAAAAATAACAAATAAATATTTCCAGAAAAAGTAATTAAAAAAATATATAAAACTCAGAAACAATTTTTACTCAATTATTTAAGCAATGAACAAGAATTGATGTAGGAGTATAAAATTATGATTTAATGTATAAAAAATATAATTGTAAATAGATAAATAAAATTAAGAAAACAACTTACTACTTTAAAAATATTAAATATTAAAGAAAAAAAATTACACTTCAAAAACGTTTAATATTAAAATTATTATCGTTTATCCTTTTTTTAAAATTATAATAAATTAAAAAAATTATTAATAAAAGATAGGTGTTTAATGGAAAGGAAGTAACTAAGTACACTAAAGATGGATAGATGGTAAAATTATGAACAGGAAATCATGATAATGAAGCCATACAAATCAACAGATTGTGATTCTTTTTCTCCAGGTCTTTTTAAAAACTTTATATAAAAAGTTGTATTTATTCTAAAATAAAAATAAAAATTTTTCATAGTACATAAAAAAATTGTTTTCACCAAAATGTTCAAGTAAATGATTTATACATCTATGAACAAAAGCCAAATGGGACCGCATTTAATTGCATAACTACAGAAGAATGTTATAAAATAAACAATTGTAAAAAAAAAAATTATCTCTGTTGTTCCGTACTGCAACTGTAAGCTAACTTTTTGAGATTTTTTAAATTTTATTAAAAGGCATTTAGTATCAACATTATTCAGACTGAAAATTATTGTAGATTCATAAAAATATCAATTACAACTTCAACTTAATACAGAGAGAAAGGCAGGAAGTGCAGCCAGAGAAAACAGTTTGGTCATACTTTTGAACACGTCAAAGAATTTATAAATCTTGGATATCATATGAACAACAATGATAATATAACAACTTAACTTAAGACCAGGTTCTTTGGCCTCAGGTGTCCCCTTAGGGATTGAGTGTTAAATAAATCAATAAATTACGAATGTACAAAACACTTATAAGACCAGTGTTAACACATGGCTCAGAGACATAGACCATTTCCAAATTGGATGAACAAGCACTTTTATGCATAAGTGAAAGATACTGTAATCCATTTTGCGGACTGGTCACTATATATGGTGCAGATCAGCTAAAGTGATCAAGAACTAAAAATGAGCTTTAAAAAGAACCAAATTTTATACACTTTGTATAACAAAATTAAAATACACTGGTCATAAAGCTCGCAGGAGTGATATAGATATGCCGAGGAAGATCATGGAAAAGGTATTGCATGGAACAACCAAAAGACATGGAAGAATAAAACTTCACGAGAAAGATGGCTGCTTATGATGCTATGATCCTGCTAAGCATTCAAAATTGGCTTGTTGCTGCACAGGATGGGAACAATTGGTAGAGGCTGATTCAGGAGAACATGACCTAGGATTGAGTTGTGAACCAATGAAGACGAGAAAAGAGAAAGGGCCACACCACGTCACAACTTTCAATTTAATACAAAGAGAAAGGCCTTTGATAAACATATCAAGTGAACTAGAGGATTGTAAAATTGTCTGCAACTCGGTTATGATAATTTAATTTTGAGGTAGCCAATTAATATGAATGAGTAAAATTGCTTTATAAATAGAGAAAACGAAATAATGGTTTTAATACAAGCTATTATTTAACATGTTTACATGTGGTCTTAATGAATAAATTGGCACTATAAATATTATATTACCAATAAGAAAAAAAAATCATGAAGAAAATAATATTACATATAGAAAGGTTAGATGAGTATTGTTTTTCAAATTAAAAATCAAAAATTTTTATTTATTACTTGACTATCTGAAGTATTTTTTAACCAAGTCAGACCAACAATTCTTTGAAAGAGTAATTGACTCCTCAGCAACTATTTCCTATGTGATAATTGGCTTATATACTATTTATGCTAGTGGTTGAAACCAAAAAAATAGAGAGAAAAAAATATTTATTACTACGATAAAATAATAGAGGTATTACCAAAAAGAAAACCCCAAGTCAGTTTTTCCTTCTGACGTCCAAGAAAAATCAGTTCTATCTTCAGCACTCATAACATTATACCTCAGTCTCTTATAATACTGGAGTAACCAAAGTCCCAATGCACTACCTTGGAATGTAACTACAAATTAAATCATTTGTAATTTATGATCCAAGAGGTAAAATTAGAAATTTAACTCAAATAAAAAATATATATTACTTGCTAGGCAATTCCAAATATAAAGTCCAGAAATTCCAGTTAAAAAAGAAATTGGTGTGGAAGCAGTATTTATAACAGCAAAGATTGCAGCAGTTGCAGAAAATAATATCCCAAGAGCCATACAAACAACTGTTCCAAACCAGACAGCATATATCATTCCTTCAATGTCTTTTGGAACTGAAAAATAAATAACATATGTGAATTGCATTAGTATTAAAAACCAGTTATATAATTAAAGGATCCCTCTCTCTTTGGCCAGCAGACTAGATTGATAACAGAAAAAATCTAAGGAAGGGTGGGTAATTTAGATAAGTGGGGATAAATAACTAATGCTAAACATTGATTGAAGAGATGAAAACTTCATCAAAAAACAACTTTATTATTAAATGATTAGTAAATTGACCACTTTCATGGAAATGAAATGGCCCAGAATCCAGGTATAAAGCTATTGCATAACGTTTAGTTCCAAAAGTATACATTTTTTGATGTAGAGATGGTTGACCGTTGATATAATATGAGAAGGAGTTGATTGGGGGGTGCGGTCAAATAAATACTAAATAAAATATAGTAATTATTTAATTTTTGTCGACGTTTCGACCCACTTTGCAGGTCGTCTTCAGGGTTTAGGGGGCGGGATGGCCGAATAGGCTAAAGCGTGTGTAACAGCACCGCTAGTTGCCTGGCAACCGGATAACAGAGATTTGAGATGATATAAAAAGTACGAGTTCGCGTCCCGGTGCCGGAGGGGATTTTAAATTCCCCGCCCTCACCCCCCGGCCCGGGAAAATCCCGTATAGCCTAAAAGGCGAGATAGGGAACAAAAAAAAAAAAAAAAAAAAAAAAAAGGTCGTCTTCAGGGTGTAGGATGTAGCACTGCGGGAGGCAGTTGAAACACTGGAAACGTCGGCAAAAATTAAATAATTACTATATTTAATTTAGTATTTATTTGACTGCACCCCCCAATCAACTCCTTCTCATATACATTTTTTGTTAATTGTACCCATGATCATTTGAATGATTATTACATTCCTTACAAAATCAAAATATATATAATAATTCAAAATTCGACCATTATTATCAGAGATACAGGTTAATGTAATTCGTAAACATTTTGATTCAAATCATGAATGAAGTTTTATAATAATTTTCTTTTCCTTAGTCGATTACAATTACTGAAAAATAGCAAACGATTCCTTCATCTGATGATACATTGAATTATTTAATTTCCTCATTATTTTGTCATTAGTTCACTGGCCAATATTCTTTAAGAATTATTTGCATAAGCTAACTAGTAAATATGAATGTGTTGTGTCAATAATTTATAAAATAAATTTTGAAAAATATATAAAGATTATTCAAAGCTAGAAAATAAAACTGACCAAGAATTTAAATATTTGAATAAATACATAGGAAAATTAACTATTAAATATAACAAATGCATCCATATCCAAGCTTCAAAATTATATTGGCAGCATTAACCAATAGGTTATCAAGTTGAACCTGATGCTAGAGAAAACTAAGGCAATACTCATCCCTTCAAAACATCTCTTAATACCCTTCAAGACTATCAAATACTTAGTTTCAATAACCTCCTAATTCAATTTATGTATTATGTTCAAATAATTACGAGTTCCCTTTAATTTATTGCTATCCTGGAATAACTATACTTCCCAGATCACAAAAAAACATTTCAGCTCAGTGCTCCATAATTCATTACACCAGTTTCTAGTATTGCACCTCATTCTCCTTATCTTCAGCTATGGATGCTAAGTGCAAATAAGATAACTTCATAGAAAGGTGGATGAGACTGAAGGGATTAATGAATCGCTTACTGAAATTCCTCAAAAGTGTCTCGGGATATTTACAAAACAACCCCTCCCTTCTATTGCTGGTATTTCTATGCAGCTTTATCCTGGTGACGGGGTGGCCGAGTGGGTTAATGTGTGTATAAAATATGCATTATGTTTTAAGGCTATAAACTGAAGTTTACAAGATATAAAATTGTCCAATATTATTAATCTTTTCACTTTGCACTCATCCATTTTCAACCAAACATCCCTTAAATTTTGAATGCCTAATTTTTTTAGAGGCGTTGTGGTGATGGATATCTAGTGACAATAAAACAAACAACAAAAAGAGTTTAAGAGATCTGTATTTCATAGACTCCTTCATAAGAACCAAAGTTATAAATAAGATTAGAATAATTTTGAGAGGCATGAAGAAAATCTTGCAAGTTACCAACACCTTGAATGAGAAAATAGTTAAAGTAAAGGTCAAGAATAACTCCAAAAAATAATAGAAATTAATAAATGAATAGTTTCAAATATTTTTGATATCAGATATTCTTGATTGCTAAACTGGCACGACTTTTTAATTTTATAATAGTTCATTTCAACAGATTTAATTGAGTATTAGATAAATATTTTGGGTACTACTTTACAAGTGTTGCTCCACTTTGATAGATGGGCATAATATCTCTGAGCCATACTACAAATGGAGTACTGTGAATGACCAAGTGCATCCGAAAGTAATCAGAGGTCAACTGAAAAGGACCCAATGAGAGTTTTAATATCCCTTTTGAGTGTGGAAAAGTCTACATAACTGTAATTAAGCTAATTATGATCCTTAATCTTTATTTAACTGAAAGGGGATAGCTGGGAATTCGCAGAAGTAGTAAAAGATCTAACAGGAAGTTATACCTGTGAATATATGAACAAAAACTTCTTCAACTGATATAATATAACAATCCATTAATAATGGTTAATGTCATGTAAACTGCATTAATTTAATGATTCTTTAAATAACTTTAGCATGATTGTAAATATCTCTAAAACACAAACCTTCAAATCGCTGAGCTCTCCACCCGATACCAACATTGAGATTCTTTTCGCCACGAAATAATCCAAAATGAATTTTTCCATCTGACTTCGGAGATTTTAAGTTAACAGCACTAGATATCGTCCAATATTTTGTGCCGAGGGCAGCAGCCAACAAACCAATACAGAGACATGAGCCCAAGAAAGTAGCGAAGATCATGCCATGTTTATAGAAATTCATTTTTCTTTTTTCCTTTCCATTTCCTAAGTAGAAAAAATGGAGATTTGAGTTATTGAAATTGTTATAAAATGATATTACCATATCTAATAATCTTAAGATCAGTTAGGGAATCTGATCAATGTAAATTAATCAAAATTTTTATCACACTTTCAAAAATAAATAAATAATTTGAGGCAGGTTTTAATGTGCCACAAAATTCTTCTGATCACTTACTCTATTAGTATGCTTAGCAACTGTAAACATGTAGGTCAGGCTTAATAGTAGGTTAGTAAGCTTGTCACAGAAAGAATTTATAAGGCATAAATAGCCCACATACTTTAATTTAACAGTTTAATACAGCTAAATAACATGTTTGGAGGGATAATAACTAAGTAAACGAAAATCAGATCACATTAAATCAACAAACTCTAAGGAATGTCATGTAAAAATAGAAACAAATAGTTGGTAAAATAAATACATATTGATGTAATCCACTTACAAACCAGATGAAATCAATTCATAGCCTAAACATTAAATCTAATACTGATTAATACAAGCTTATTAGCTCCGTAGCGCCATGTCAGAAACACGCCTGAGATAGCTCCCACCCTTCAATCCTACTTTCTATAAACTACTTTTCTGTTTAACTATTTTGTGAAGAATGGAACAATTATTCCACCTGTTCATAACTTTCATTCGTAGCTTTTAGCTAATTGCAACGTAACTATTGTATTGATACAATCCACATACAAATATTTGATTTCTAATGAATTTTACTCATTTTCGTGCCATAAATGATAGCAATATATCCTATTCATTCAATGATAGCTATCTCAGTAATAACAAGTTCAGATTTAAGACCGAATCCGTGGTGTAAAAAATATATTTTCTTACAACTCTTATATAAAGCTGGGTAATGTTCTGTAGCAGAAACTTAAATATGAGTAACAGCAAGTCTAACTTATACAATTTATTTAAAAATGTTCATAAGGGTTCGCAACTTAAGCTAATGTTTACTAAAGCTTAAATATAGTGAAGATGGTTTTTAAAAAACCCTTTGTGAGGCTAGAATTGGAAGAGGACAAGGCTGTGTTTAGATCCCACTGACAGAAACAAGATCACACCTCGTTTAATAATAATAATAACAATACTTAATTTTTCTGGGACGAGTCCCTTTAGAATATACAAGGACAGAAATGTGGACTTTTGAGCCTCAGATATATAAGTTTATTTACAATTTAAACAGATAAATATAATAGAAAAAAAATGTAAAGTTACTTTAATTGTAATCAATTAACAAACAATAAAAAATAAACGAAAGAAACATAAAATTAAGTAATTGAAAACAAACTAATAACATATATACATATTAACATGAATATCTAATCAGAATTTTATAGGGACTGGATGGAGAGGAAGTGTTTGAATAGGCGGGAATTAAAAGTAGAAAGGGTATTGGAGCGATGGAAGTAGGGAGGGATGAAGTTCCATATGGTCAAGGACCGAATAATGAAAGATCTATCGAAAGCAGCGTTTCGGTGGACCATTGTATATAAATCTGAGATGGCCGAGCGGGTTTGCCCAGCAACCTGATAACCGAAGTATCAGATAGAAAAACAATTACGAGTTCAAATCTCTATGCCAGGTGGGAGCTTTAATTCGGCATAATTTCCCCGCCCTCTACCCTGGCCTGGAGAAAACCCGAATAGTCTAAAAGGCAAGAAAGGGGAGAAAAAAAAAAATAAAAGACCGAGAACGGGTATTGCGGGAGTGAACTGATGATTTCAATAGTAGGAGTTCGGAGATGTATGAGGGGCTTGATTTAACGATTTGGAAGAGGAAAGATGCCAAAAAATACTTACGACGATGGGAAGGATATAGGAGGACATTTCAACTCCGCATTAAAACACGTAACGTAGACTTCCCTTGGGATACCGAAGATGAATCGTACAAAGCAATATATCCAACGTTTTAGTTTCGCCTCCAGATCCCCAGAGACCCCTCCATATACCGTACAGTAATAGACAAAGTGGAGAAATATCAAGGAGGAGACCAGGAGTCTACGAGTTTAAAAAGAAAAAAGTTGGAAGCAAATATAGGAAGCAATTTAGAAGTTTTAAGCTCGAAAAGGTACGGCTGGACACACTCCTTTTTTTCCAGGAAAGAGTCTGATCAAAGGTTATTGCAAGATTCTTGATGGTGGAATTATCATTATGAGGGACACAATTTGATGGGATTATAATGCAGGATTAGGGTTGGAATGTTAGAAACAGTTTTAAGGAGGTGATTGGACCCTGTTGAAATTGCCTTCGTCTTCTCCGCACTCAACTTCAGCTTGTAGATTATTTTTAAAAGCTCCTGCCCAGTCACATATTCTGATCAAGTCTTCTTGAAGTTTTTTGGTGGCTGGTAATAGGTCAGAAGGCAGGAATGAACGGTCATCAGGAACATCATTTGCATAGATATGGTATTGGGCATTAGCGGATCCTGCTTGTAATTTTGGGGGAATGGCTTCAGCCCGAAAGCTTTTTTTTTCATACATATAATGATAATTAATTTGAAAAAAAGAAAGAAAGAAACTAACTACCTATATGACATGGTGTTTAAGTAATTCTTGAAGTCCTATTAAATGTAACTACACGAACAATAATACTTTAAGAGATAGTTTTTAATTTTTTTTTTCTACAAAACAACCATGTTTATTTATATTTTACCATTTTGGGGGAGGGAGGGAGAGAACATCAGCCCGCAAGTCCCCCCCCCCCCTCCTAGATCCGCATGTACTGGGACCGATTTGAGAGGAAGAATTTGAACCAACGCAGGAAACTGTTGGATATAGAAAGATTTTGCAATTTAGTAAAGAGGATATTATGCTTAACTGTGGTCAAAGGTTCAAATATAATTCAAATCAAAAGGTTTTGAAAAATCTAGAAGGATGAGGATAGTAAGGTTTTGGTGTTCCATGGAGTTTTCGAGGTAATGGGTTATTTTAAGGAGAGCAGATTGGGTTGAGAAGGCAGATTGAAATGGGTTGATGAGTGGACACATTTCCCGCGAACATGTAGCCCAAGAGTGGCATCGCACAAATGTTTAAGACTTGCTAGCATACATCTTTCCCAAAATATCCAAGTATTATTTTCTTTTTATCACATAATTATTATTTCTGGTACTTTTTAAAATTCTCGTAAATATTTCTGGGAAGAAAAAAATACGAACTTGGATAATCGGGCTCGCTTAAACCTATGGCAGTTACCTCTTCGCCCCATCGTTCTTACTCCCTTAAAAATAAGTCGTAAAAAAAGTAAGTCTTCAAGCTTGAAAAGAACCTGACATCTTGTAACTTCTATCAATCCTTCTAGCTTGTTTTCTTTGGTTTGCTCTGAGCACTAGCGGATATATACATACATATATATATATATATATATATATATATATATATAACGGTAATTACTTTGGAAAACAAATAAAGATACTAACTACCTAAATGAAATCGTGTTTAAGTGATTCTTGAAGTCCTATTAAATGTAATTACACGAACAATACTTTGAGTGATAATTTTTTAATATTATTTAGCAGAAAATAATGTTATATTTTACCAATTGGGGGGGGGGGGTGGAGGGCTTCTGCCCGCATATCCGCTTGTGGCTTTGGGTACTGGTACTGGTACTGGTGGGGAGAACTTGTCTGCCATGTGGGTCCTGTGTTCCTTTTTACTATCCCTTAAAGGCTACATTGAGTAGCTTTTCCACTAGAGTAGGAGGGTCAATATTTATTTCCCAAAGCAGCCGAGAAATAAAAATTAACCGATCCAGATTACAATTGAACCCACAATGTTCAGAACCGCACTTTATTTAGTAAACACTTCCGTTGTTTTGAGAAAACGAACTCGGAAAAATCATGGCTTTTATCATAATTAAAAAAAAAAAAAAACATTCTAAATACATTTTGATTTGATAATTTTCATTTTAAATTACTTTAAACTCGTCATTGAAGAAATCGCCCAACTTTATTATAATTGTTTTAAGTATTATAAAAATAGATTATATACTACAAAATATAAGTTAAAAAAAATGGTGACAATGTTGCTTAAAATATCTTAAAATGATAATATTTCTTGAACTGCTACCGCATGTAATTAATAGTAAATTTTTCAATAAATTCTAAAGACATAAAAAAACTTGCGTTCGCTAGAATCACCAGGATTTATTTACGATAAAAACTTTAATGTTTTTGAATAGCTGAAGCATAAATCTCAGCAAGTTCGATTGATTGTTAAAAAAGAAGTCAAATCAATGTCTGAAAAACTAAATTAATATCAGTTTGGAATAATATTACTAACATATTAATATTTAACAATCAAATTTGCTACAGATTTTCTGCGTTCCAAAAACTGTAATATAAATAATAATTTTTTTCTCTCTCAATTCGATGTTCATTTATACTTCGAATGTGATTTTATTTCAGTAGTTCTTATAAGGTTAAGTGTTTCAGAAGAGACCCCTCCCTTAGTTTGCGATATGTTGTTATTTTGGATTAATGGTCTATTTTCTTAGATATTATTTGTTATATAGTATGTTCAGTTGAATTGTTCCTTAAACGAAATCTTTTTCAAGCCATCTAAGACTGCTTTGGTGCTGCCTTCGACATGGGTAAATATTTTATCATTTTTTTAATGCCCTCGTCGGCATTTCACTTTTAATGTGATAATTCTGTTTATTAAAGTTTTTTTTTTCTGCTTTTTGAAATTTTCTCTTGTGTTTGACAGCAAATATAGCTTACCACATTATGTTTTATTACAACTCATCAAAAGTTATGATAACTTGTTATCATTCATTTTTGACAACTATGTCATGGATGCTATTACTAATCAGACTTCACGAAATTCAGCTATAATTAATTTATACACTTTTATAAACTACACCAAATTTATACATCTTTGACCCAATTTGTTCTTATTAATTTGTGTTAAGTGGATAGTTTTTTTCTTGAACTATGATGCTAATCGGCAGTGAATTCACACCAATCGTGAATCTGTACTAATAATTCTAAATTTCTATTAAATGTTTGCTATAGTTGTTAATTTTATTTCTGTACCTAACAGCTAGGCCTAGAATGATGTCATCTTCCTCAATTAACTACTTTAAGGCACACCTACTTCCATGATAAAATCACACAAGGTTGCTATATTGTTAAAGCTTTACTTTATTTTGTTTCATTAATTTCAATTTAAGTAAATTGCATATATTTATATTCATTTATTGATCATTAATAACCTAATACGATTTATTCCCCATGTTTTGTGATGTTTCACTGATATCTATAATGTTTTGTTTAAAATTGCATGCCACTCAGCCGAAGGAAATGATTCTGAGGATGGTATGTATTATTTATCTTTCATGTCCCAAGTAAATTATTATTGATTAATTAATTTTGTTTTAAAGTATTATTTATCTAAATGATTGATCTATTATGAATGATATCTTGTTTTATATTTATTGAACTATTTATGAGTTTATGCTTATATTAGCACTAGAAATTCACTCTCTTTCTAATTATCCCCTTTTTTGTTATTAAAAAATGTACTGTCAAAGCTCTACTATGTAGTAGTTATTGAGGTTGGATATTTGGATATTTTTTGCGTTATAAGCCATTAGTATGACCAAAAGTTATGGCAGAGATGTTATTCGCCCTGTTTTGTCTTTTCCTTTTAATTTATTATTAATCGTTTTGTTAATATTTGTGTTTATAAAATGGCCTTTGCCACTTAACACGCTGAATTTAATTGGGATAGTGCTTTGCTTTTAAGATATCTCTCTAGATTGATCACATTCCTTTAACTTTTTTTATTTTTATCTTTAAATAATTATTAATAATTATATAATAATGCTAAATCTAATAAAGGTATAAAAGCGCTATTATAGAAGAAAATAGGAATGAGTATTAAATAAATTATCCCTCTATCATTAATAAAATTGATTTAGTTATTTCAAATTAGTTTTGCTTCAGATTAACTGTCTCTGATCCAATGAAGTATTCTGTAATTATTTTTGTTTAAATTATTGTATTAGTTACTTTGGAAAATATAACCATTTATATATTGTTAAATGATAACGTATTTATAGCTTGCAAAATATTATGAAAATTAAAATATTCCATCTAATCACTGTCTAAAATGATGTCCTATATTATCTTGTATATGAATATTGCGCATATACAGGTGCTGTTTTATTGAAATACTATTATGCTCATTCTGAAACTAATGATATTTTACTGGATTTGTTCATATAGGTAAAACATATTGTCAATGCTGTAAGAAAAAATGTACTGGAGAGGTGCTACGTGTACAAGATAAATATTTTCATATTGCTTGCTTCAAATGTTCAGGTCAGTGAATAGTCTCCATTATTTTTGTCACTTGTCAATAATCTTTTTCTTAATAGCAATAATTTTGTTTCTATTGTATATAATTATAAATGATTTACTATTGAACTATTCTTTGAATTAAAAATATCAATTTTATTATTTTTATAAATAATAATGTATTAGAAATGTTAGTAATGCATTGGAGAATATATTTAGAGATAAGAGACATTTGAAGTTATCAGTAGAGATATTTTAGATTTATCCATACAGAATCTGAATGAATTAATGTATCATCAAAGATTTATGTTTTCCATGTTTGTAGTGATAGTTGTTGTACTGTGAAAATAATTATTATATCTTATTTATAATAAAATAAGAAATAATTATAAATGATAATTAGGTTTTTATTTCTGTAATTAAAAATTGATTGTCAATGACCCCAATGGTTATTTTCCAAAATATAATATTTTAAAATTTTCATTTCTATATTTTCATGTTTTATACTATTTATATTATTCAAATTTGAGATTGGGTATAGTCAATATTTATTTATTTATTTGTTTTATTTTTTTCTGCACATCCAGTTTAAACAAAATAATCTTAGTCTATTAATTTGTTAAGTTTATTCAAACATATCTCAATTAAAATACCATTAGCTGTTATATTTTTAAAAGTTTCCTTTCTCTTTGTGGTTTGTTTTAAGAAATTTAAAAATAATTTTACTCTATACTTATATTTTTAATTTGTAATTCTTTATATTTTATGGAATCTAACCTTTTATAAATATGAATAAACTTATTTATTTTTCAGTTTGTAAGTCATCTCTTGCTCAAGGAGGTTTTTTTTGCAAGGACGGCCAGTATTTTTGTACTCCGGATTACCAATCAAGATTCGGAACCAAATGTGCCACTTGTGGAAAATATGTTGAGGGAGAAGTAGTTACTGCTCTTGGCAACACATACCACCAGGCCTGCTTTACTTGTGCAAAATGCAAGTTAGTATAAGTTATGTTTTATGTTATTGACACTTATTCATGGATTGTTTCGTTTACCTAATTCGAGAAGCATTGTTTCTCAAAGAAAATATATTTGTTTAAATTAATTTAACAATTAGTTTATTCATGTCAAAAATCATGTGTCACTTCTTTTTCAGTCAAGCTTTTCCCAGTGGCGAACGTGTGACATACACAGGAAAAATTGTTTTATGTTCAAAATGTAGCAATCTTCCTGAAGAGAACAATATACAAACCCAGTCAATTACAGGTGCGTTTAATTATCATTTGTTTCTTATAAACGACGACTAGGTTCCCTAGTTTCACTGCTTACTAATAGTCTATTTTTGGATATCAGATAAGTGTCAGTGATATTTCAGTTTTTGTTGGTATTTGACTTCATTTAACGTGATATTGATGGAACTTTGTTTCAAGTAAGGTTTTCAATTTGATTGATTATAAATGTTATTTGACATAAAAAAATTTCAATGTTTAATTTTTTTTTTTTGTCTTTAAATTTTAATCCACACCTATTGACAATCAGTAGATGATTTCATAAAAAAATAATGAAACTAACATGTCAGGCATGTGATTTTTAAATTCAATTTATATTATTTATTTCATGTACGGAATTAGGGAATGTTGCAAGTCTCCAGCAAAAGAATACTTATATGTTTTTAAATTAATGATTAGATGTTAGTTGGGTATGCAATCAGAATAGAAACACTGAGTTGTATGCCAATGCTTTTACCTATGATCCACAAGCCTTCATCAGGGTTAGAGAAAAAGATGAGGAAATAATATTGAGATATGAGATTGGTTAAATGAGTATACTAGAATTACTTGATGGAATTAGATAAAACTAAAATTGAACAGACCAATATATGTTGCTAGTTTTAGGCTTAAAAATGTTTTTCCAAAAACTAAAATAGTTATTTTTTTCTTTTGATGATATTTTTATAAATAACTTTGATTTTAGAATGTAGCGGGTGCCATGGAGAGTTAAAAGAGGGCCAGGCGTTGATAGCTTTAGACCGTCAGTGGCATGTATGGTGCTTTAAATGTAGCGATTGTGAGGTGCCATTACATGGCGAGTACATGGGGAAGTAAGTATTAATTTATATTAGACCATTTATGAGAATCTTAGTTGTTTTTTTTACTCCATTTTCTGTAAAATGACTTTTAGTCATAGTTCCATTAAATAGGCATTGAGGTTGGTTTAATTGCTGCAACCCTCTTTCTGGCAAAGCTGTTTACAGAATTGAAAATCGATCCTTTTTCATTAGAATTTCCCTATTCCTTATGATATAAAACACACGCAAATTTTATACTTATATTAGATCTTGTGTAACAGTATTTTTCCTAGTGTTTTCCTTAATAGGAGGGTCTTGGTCTTACTCCTCATGAGCAGGACTCCTTGGACTGACTATACTGACAAAAAAGATAAATTTCCTGTGATCTTTGTTATTTAAATTTATTGAAGCTTCTCAGCTAAACTCCTCTCTTGGTCCAGTTTTATTTATGTTATGAGCTAACTGAAGCTAAATAAAAATGTATTCAATTCTTTTTTTTTTTTTTTTTTTTTTTACTTGAATCTAAATAAATTTAGATATTATCCAACTGAAATGTATGTATCCAATACAAGTACAATTAAACTCAAGATTAAGTAGAATCAATATCAATATAATTATGATAAATAATCATATTATATATTACAACGTTTCTTTAAATATATAAAATTAGATAAATATGATCAATTATCAATATTTTTTAATTTTTCATAAGTCTTAGAGTAGTTTTGATCCTCAAAAGTGATTTTCTTCTAAAAACTAATTTATGATTTGTTCCCAGAATGATTTTTCATAATTTTATTTGTTTATTTAAAATTCTTCTTTTAGTTTTACTTTTTTTTTTTCTAAACTTTTTCATTATCAAAATATTTTTTTAGGGATGGTGTTCCCTATTGTGAAAAAGACTATCAAAAACATTTTGGGGTCAAGTGCGCTTATTGCACTCGCTATATATCTGGCAAGGTCTTACAGGTGATAACAGTTTTATTTCTTTTTGGTATTGCATACATGTGGAAACTGTAGCTAACTCTTTTTTTTTTTAAATTCTTTTTTTAGGCAGGTGACAACCATCATTTCCACCCAACATGTGCAAGATGTACAAAATGCGGTGATCCGTTTGGCGATGGTGAAGAAATGTATTTACAAGGTTATATTGCTTTGTTTTATGATTTTTGATTTATTTATTTATATTTTGTATTTTGGGATAAAGATTTCTTTAAAATTTGAGATGTGCATTTACCAATTCCTTTATGTCTAGTACACCATTGCGAATGTAGCTCTTAAAGTGTTCATTATAATAAAATTGTTAATTTCTTATGCCCTACCAGTCACAGCGTTAATAGATTTTTCATTTATTACGTTGGAATAAATTTCAAACAAAATTCACATCATGTAGTATAGTTTCATGGACACGCCATATCCTAACAATTATCTGTTTTTCTTTAACAGCCTAGTTATATTTTAGTGGTTCCCACTTTGGTGCAATTTGCATTAAAGAAGAGTTATCATTTCATTGTCAATTTTAATTCAAATTAAAATTTCTTTATTTAAACTTAAATATATTAGTATATAATTTTTTTTGTTTTAAAATATTTTTTTATTCTTGTTTTTATGAGTTTCTACATGGTTTAACAATCGATTGAGTTTATTACAAAGTCTTATAAGTGTAATTGTATTTTGTTGAAGTATCTTCTAATTTGAAAAAAAAAATATCTACTTTGTTTTTTTTTTAGTATGAATCACAGTTTTGAAATAGTTTTGGGGGCATTCTACCTTATAAATAAATTTTAGAAAGGTTCTGACCTGGATACCCAATCTGACCTTGAGTTGGGCCACTCACAGAAATTGAGAAACCAGAAAAAATAAAAAAAAACAAATTGTGTGAAATTAATGCTCTTGATAAGAATTTATCTTGTTTACTTTACAAATTGCTTTTATGGCATTGTTTTAAATTGTTAATTCATTTAACTATAAAGTTTTTCTACTAGTGTGTATGTGATCTTCAATTATTTTTGAAAGATTAAAGGTGTGAATGAGTTTTAATAGATTCCTTATTTGATAATTGAATGTGTTTAGTTTTAATTTTATTATTAGTTTATTAGGATTAAGGAATTTTGTTTGAGCATTATTTTTTAGATATTTTAAACTTGAAAAATGCAAATTATTAAAAGATACAACAATAAATTTACCCAGTATTATTTTAAAAAAGCCTTATGGTAAATGTTTGGATAACTGGCTACATTGATTAATTAAAAAAAAAAAGGTTATATCATAGTTAATTACTATCATAATGTTATTGTTCAGTTAATAAATTAACATTCATTAAACAATACCAAATAAAACAGTAAATAAATTGTGGAAATCAAATTTTAGACTTCAAATCTGAGATGCTAACAAATTTAAGACACCCTGTCTCAATTTTTATGAAAAAATGTTTATCTTAAAGTTTATGCATTAAGATAAATAATAAATATTTTAATTTTTTTTTTTATTATTAAAAAGTACACGAATTGTCTCGCATTGTTCGGAGAATAGTAATCTGACTACTCTCGGTGATTAAAAGTCAGGATTTAATTATGGGATCTAAATGTAATAAAAACAGTGCTTAAACTTCACTTATTTTTGTACTGTACATATTCCTGTTCTCAAAATTAATTTCATCTTCTTATTTTTTATTCATTCGATGGTTCAAATCAAGTTCTGTTCCTTGCAGTATGTTTAATTTAGGCATCTTTTTGTACACTTATTTTAGAGTTACAGTGGAACCTCTGTATTTTGAACACCCACGTGTTTCAAAATTTTATTAGAGAACTTGTATGTTTTATTAGATAAAAAATAGATACCATTTATCAAATAAAATTTTTAATAATGCTTAGTTTGTGTTTATCATATTGTTAATAAGTAAATAAGACAAATAAAATTGGTTTCACTGTGGATGAAAACTATACTTCTATTATTAAAATGTTTGAATTTTTCATATCAAATAGAAAAAAATGACAATGTTTTTAATTTTCAACATCTATTTACATTTACTGCTGTTATTTATTATAACATTTTTTTTTAATATATATTTTCGAATTACAAAATTTAAAAAAAAAATCAATAATTTAAACTATGATATGCAATCCCTGAAATTCACATCTTATGACTCCTCCCCCCCAGTCCTTGTCTTCCCTGGCAGCCATTGGCTCATTCTTTGTTTTTTTTCAGCAACTTACCGCGAACAGGTTCTCTTTTTAGTTTGAATTGGGCTAGGTCCATTGAAGTCTTTTGTATAGTTGTTATCTTCTGTAAATAGCCAAGATCACTTTTTTTATGATAATGTATACTCTGGTTTCACTTACATTGTGGTCCTATTTGTCTAAAAGGCTGTGCAGTTCATTATAGTATGTTTGCTGGTCTTCTATCTGCATCTGGGGTATAGAGAATAAATTTAATTTTCAAACCCATAAAGTTTAGTTCGTTGTATAGTTAGTCCCTATTTTGATCTTAAATCTCTCTGACATCTGGGAAAGTATTTCATCAAGTTAGGAACTTTCAGGATTATCAACATCACTTACTATATTTTATTATTTCTTTAAATCTTTTCTCTTAAATATATGTTTCAATGTGGCATATCACCACGCCGCTAATGAGTCCAGCACAGCCTCATCGCACTCATTGTCCTCTGATTTTGTGATATGAAAAATTCCTACATCATGTTGGGTTTTAAATTCAACTCAATAAATAAAACTATTTCCCTCAACTCTGAAAGTTTTTTAAGATTTTTTTATATATTGTTATTCAATTTTGTTTCTTCATAAAAGTAAATAGTTATTAATAAACTAAAATTGATTTCCAGGTTCAGCCATTTGGCACCCTAGGTGTGGTCCTGGACCTCAGGCTGAATCTCTTGCCAACGGTCATTCTCATACTGAACTCGACAGAATGTCAAATAGTGAGATGCAGGTAATATCAGTTTGTTAGATTATAGTTCGCTGTTGTCCTTTTATCTATTTAGCAAAGCAGATAATTTAAATCGCAGATTACACTATCTAGTATGTAATTTTTGCTTGTGTGATATCAGATTGCTAAAGTAAATTGCATATTTAAAATTTTGTTTTACATTTTGTTGTTATATTAAATTTGAAGCATGTTTCTATATATTACTGTGCAACTTTTTTTAATTTTATTTTTATTTATGCTTTTTATTTTAATTTTTGTTAACTTTCCATTTGGCAAGTGGAAATTATTGTGGTGTGCACTTGTGTTGTGTTGTTCCAGTTGTCTCTACGATCGCAAGCAACTAGTTTGAATGGTTCCCTCTACGGCATTGATCGAAAGGTATGACTTAGAGTAGTATTTGTTACCTCATTTTTATTTAAGAAGAAAGTACTTTGGTGATTATTTAGATGGTAGAAGTTAGAGAAAAGTAGTTGCCAATGTCACGGTTTTATTTATTTAATGTATTAGTTAATTTCCCTTAAAATCATGTGTCTATTTCATGATTCGTACTATTTCTTTTAGCATCCTTGCATGTATTATAGAAATTTAATGAAGTTAATTTTATTATTAGACCATACAAAGATAAAGTTTTATTATTATTAGTATTTTACTATCAAGAAACAGATTTCAAACCACACAGATACACAAAACAAAATAAAATGATCAGCTCAAAATAATAAAAAATTACATTTGAATATCTCATTATTACTTGATAAGGTTTTTAATGAATTCCCAATTGATATTTTGATATTCTTCCATCAAAAATTCTTATTTCTGGAAATGAATCTACTAAAGTTATGCATTCTTTGTTTAAATTTATATAAACAGGTTTTAAGAGATTTTCAGCTATTGGGGAAAAATGGCCTTTTTTTCTCTTTCTCTTTGAATTACTAACAAGGCGAGAGATTGAATAATATTCCTAAGCTGCAATGAAACGCATAGCTGTTAGCGTGAACACTAATTCGGCCACTGTTGCATTTATGATTATATATTAGAGTTAAATTTTGGAACGGAGATGATTTATTAAATTCTCACTGCATAACTACAGGGCTACCAATATATAATTACATCTTGAAATATAATTTTTACTAAATTTAATTTACTAACCTTGGTTTTACAGATCCTTTGTTGATCCATACAAAAACTGAGTTACTGAAATTAATTCTAGGGTAATATATATGAGTGATGTACAATGATAAGACCCTTTCCCTTGAGGATGTTCAATTTTATGGAATGTCACGCTGAATTATTTTAACGTAAATTACAACATAAATTTTATGAATTACTATAAACCATTTAAAAATAAACATCTCTGAAAAAGACAAGATTTTCTGAATCGGTTGTCAGTATACTGGTAGTTGATATCTAGAGCTGTACTGTGGAAGGCCACGTAATATTCATTTCTTTGTTAATGTTTTTATCTATTTAATTAATACAGTTATTCTTGGCTCAATTAGTGAAATCTTGATGAAATGATTAAAGGATAACTATAGAAGGGTGCTTTGTCATTGTATAGATACTAATCTGGGTTTCTATCTTACGATGAATATACTGAAATTTGCTATAGCTAGAGTACTGCTGTTAGAACAATTTTGCTTATTCATTAAATTTCTGTATTAATTAGTTACCTTAAATTGAGAATACATTAATTAAAAATATCCTTCAGATTCCAGTTCTTGTTATGCTCAGTGAGTATTGTACAAAAAACTTTCTATTCTATGAAACCTATGTTATATCGGTTTTGTCTGACTAGAACTTGTAAAACAATCAGATTATTTTTTAAAGTTGTTTTATAAAACATTAGGCCAAAGATCACCAAATATACGTTTTCACATTATGTATTATTTATTCGATGTTTCGGCTTCAGGAGCCATTTTCAAGTTCCTACAAACATGCTCCAATGCATAAAATTTCTTTAAATGTATCATTATAATATAAACCGTCGGTTTGTCATTCTTTTATTTCATCGAATGGCGTTTTTTTTACTTCTCCTTGGTAGAAGATGTTGAATGTGTTCTTCACCAATATCGCATTCATACAAGACAGTCTTGTATAATCAATAACGCATTCATACAAGATGGTCCTGTATGAATGCGTCATTGATGAATAACACATTCAACATCTTCTACGAAGAAGAAGTAAAAAAACGTCATTCAATGAAATAAAAGAATGACAAACCGACGAATTATATTATAATGATACATTTTAAGAAATTTTATGAAGCGGTTTCATGTTTGCAGGAACTTGAAAATGGCTCCTGAAGCCGAAACATCGAATAAATATTACATAATGTGATAGCATGTATATTTGGTGATCTTAGGCCTAACATTTTTTTTTTAAACTTAAAAAATGGGCCCGAACCTAAAAGATATGACTACAAAATTCATCAGATTGTTGTTATAAAGTTTTAGCAGTTATCAGAGACCTTCTTTATCTTTTAATGAATTTTGAAAAAATTAGGAATTAAGAGTTAGCGAACTTGTTATTGGGCTTGAGTCCCAGTGGTTCAGGGTTGATGTTACTCCAATAGTGTTAAACAAGTATTTGTGACATATATAGATGAAATCAGGTCCAACGAGAGGGGTAAAAGTCAATCTAGCCTCCAAGGTTCTATATTTTGAATTCAAAATTCACATCAAAATTAAGTTTAGGGTTACTGTTAGTGCAAAAGATTGTATGTAAAAATTGGGGTTTTTTTACAGAAGAGCTTACAAACCGATTATTTCTTTATGATTTATTAGTATAATTTCATATTTTATTTCACTCTTATTTAGCAGACTACTTATAGCAGTTGCAGCCTACAAAATGTCATCTTTAGCACAAAGAACATAGTAAAATTTTTATATACGACCTTTTTGCACTGACAGTAGCAATAGGTAACATTACATATTTTTTATAGTAATTATGAAATAGGGCAAGGTGGCCGAGCAAAACATGCATTGCCTGGCAGCCTGAATAACTGAAGAACATATAATAATTACGAGTTTGCGTCTTTTAACTCTGGCGTTAATCATCCGCCCTCACCCCTGGCCCGGGAAAATCCCTATATAGTCTAAAAGATGAGGAAGGGGAGGACAAAAAAAAAAGTGATTATGAAAGATCTTTGCATAATATTTTTGTTGTATTCTTTATAAATTAAATTTAATATTCTAGAGAACCCAGGAAAATTATCCTAGGGGCCCAGCATTATTAATGGAATATTCCTTGGCTGGACTTCATAATTTAGATTATGGTAATTGTTTCAATAATCTTGAGCTAGATAAAACAGAGCCTAATGTTATATTAGATATCAGATTTATTATTAATTAGATATCAGATCAAGTAGCCAACCATTATATGTCGTATTATGCTAAACGGATATAACTCATTTAAAAGAATCTAATTCAAAGAAAAGGAAATATGGGGGTTCACCACTTAACCATTCCCTTGTTTATGACATGACCTGAACACTTGTTATAAAAGAAATGTCATCAACACAGGTAAGCATTAGATTCCATCTGCTTATGAATCTGACTATTCAACTAATAATTGGACCTGTAAACAAAAACAGGTGGCTTATGCTCTTAGAATTTTATAGGAAACTAAAAAACTGATTGCTATGTTCCTTAATCAATAAGACAAGGTTAGAAAGATTTTTTCATATCAATTTTCTGCCTTTATTTATGTCTAACCAACACACAAAAAAAAAAAACTTAAGGACATAACGAGTTATTAAAAACAGGACTAACCTTGCAATATCTATTAGGGATAGTTGATTGGAAATAATGCATATAAGCTCCTCCTCTTCACATTTATAAAAACCTAATCGACAAGTGATATGTATCCCACGGCAATACTTCAGTTAATGTGAGTCTGTGTGGGTGCAAACCCTTTACCTTGCTTCATTTCAAAAACTGTGCATTTTTGGTCTTACATCATATGTTCCTGAGGAACTTAACCAGGCAATTTATACCAACTTATGACTGTCCCAGTATTACATACTGGACCAGACCTCTCTACTTTGCACTCCTTCCTCACATCGCTATAAATCTCATATCGTTGTGTTCCTTGTTACTATTAGTTTAAAAAAAAAATACAATGGTCCCACTAAAAAAAGTGGCTGGACTGTTCCAAACATGGCGGACTGACAACTTTTTTGTCACTGACATTCAGCATTTTTTTTAATTTCGTCATAATTGGCCTTTTATTAAATTTGAATTGTCGGAGAATCATAAAATAATAATAAAAACTCATTGGCTTAGGCAATAAAAAAAAGCACTAGTAAAGTCAATTTTTTCAAGTTGTTCGAACTAAAGTTGAAAATCAAGTGTCGTGTGTAATTAAATGGACAGCAATAACAAAAAAATGCCCCAAAATAAAATATTTTGTGAATACATCCACTATTAAGCTTGAATAAAGATGAATAAGAATAATGAAGGAAATTGAATGATCCAGTTTTTAATATTGTCCTGCCCAGCCAAGTCTTTTACATAGGTCATAGACATTAAGTGTCCTGGTCTTATCTACTAATCTACCTCTTAATGTCTAACTATTTAGTTTTATGTTACATTGTATTTTTTGTGTACTCAGTTAATTGTTTATCATGTCTGTTATATAATGTATTTTGGTCTAGCTTATAGACATCTGTTTCCAATATACTTATGGTAATCAGTATCTAACAGTTATGGCAAACAGATTTTTATATTAGACTAAAGAATTTAAAAAAAAAAAAAGAGCAATATGATTCCTAAATAGAAAATCAATATTGTTGTTTTGTGAATTTGTATGATAATATTGTGAGCTTGATTTCCCAAATTGCTGTAGCATCACAAAATATTTATAATTTTTAGAGGTATATCCAGTTAACCTTCAAATGGTAGAAAAAATAAACAGAAAAAAATCTTAGATAATAATATTAATATTTTAATTAAATTAAACTCATTAAGCTGATTAAAAAAAAAAGTTTATAAAAAGATGTACAATGTGTAAATTTTATATGATTTTCTTTTTCCTTTGTTTTATTCTTGATGCTAGAAAATACAGAAAGTTTTTTTATTTGCTGACCAACTGGCTTACTTAACCTTTACTGGATTAGATCTTTTAATTTTTTAAAATAAAATATATATATTTTTTAATGTACATATTATTAAAAATATAAATCTGAACAATATTACTGATTTGGACTAGTTGATTAGGGGGAGGGGGAATGCTATCATCAATGAAATAACTCACAAATAAGAAACTTTATTTTATTGGGTATCAATGTTTTAGCCTAAGTTTTAGGTCTTTATCTGGGTGACATCTTACTCATATGTTTCCTTGAAAAGATGGAAACTCCGCCTAAATTGTAAAGACCTTACCTTAATTTTGTACATAAAAATAATTTAATGTTTTTTAAGATGAATAAATAAAAAATAGAAATCCAAAATGTGTTCTAAAATTTATATATATATATTTATTATAAAAGATTTTTGTAAAATTGGTTTCTGTAGGTATTTAAAATATAATTCCCAGTCAATGGATACATCTATAAAAATTAATTTTTTTTTTCAATGACATTGGATATTATTTTGACTTAAAATTAATCCTTGGTTGCTGTAATATTTATTTTAACTGTTATGCTACATCATCTGTTTTGACCTTCCATTTATGTTATGATCATTATTGAGGTAATTTTTTCATAATAATATTATTGTTTGGCGCAGAGAGCAGGGAGCCCTGGCCTCCTACTGCGCGAGTACAGGAGGGACTACTCTGACATCAGTAGGATCTACACTTATAGCTATCTTACCGAAGAGCCAGCTTATCTCAAACGACCTATCGAGCCCTATGACAAACCTCCTGTGTCTCCTCATTTCCATAGACCGCCTTGTGAGTAGATAATAAAATATTTTATGTGCTTAATTTATGCTATTTTAAGTATTATGAGGCTATGTGTAGGAGATTAAAAAAAAGAAAAAAAAAAAAGGTACTTATTTAATAGCGGGTAGCGTCAAAACCTCCCTTCTTATCTAATCTCATTTCACATAACCTCCCTTATCTCATCTAACCTAAGTTATTCCCTTGTTTATTTTTTGTTTCTTGTATTAGCTGTGAGTTAGTCTTATTTAATTATGGATGTTGTCACATTGTGGGAATTGCCGTCTTCAGAAGAAGAGGCTATAAAATATTTTCAAGACGCCGGGATATTTACAAAGGTCAAATATTGTGATGAAGGTCATCAAATGAAGTTCGACGGGAAGATTAAATGGAGATGCTTTCGTAGTTGTAACAAAACCGTTTTTATAAGGAAAGGAACGTGGTTAGAGGGGTCGAGGATTTCTTTTTTAACGGCTTTAAAATTCATTTATGGGTGGTCCCATAATTTAACAACAATACAGTGGAAGAAAGAGCAGCTCAAACTATCCAACGCAACTATCGTAACATGGAACAAATTTTTAAGAGAAGTTTGTGCCCATGACATGTTATACAGGTCGAATAAAAATTAAATTTTTCATATGAGAAGGAGTTAGTCGAGGGTGCGGTCAAATAAATACTAAATAAAATATAGTAATTATTTAATTTTTGCCAACGTTTCGACCCACTTTGCAGGTCATCTTCAGGGCGTAGGATGTAGCACTGCGAGAGGCAGTTGAAACACTGGTGTTTCAACATCAGTGTTTCAACTGCCTCCCCGCCCGCCTGCCTGCCCGCAGTGCCACATCTTATGCCCTGAAGATGACCTGCAAAGTGGGTCGAAACGTCGGCAAAAATTAAAATAATTAATTTATTTTAATTTTTTATTTATTTGACCGCACCCTCGACTAACTCCTTCTCATATTATATCAACGGTCAACCATCTCTACATCATTATAAATTTTTCATATTTTGTTTATATCGTTTCTTCATAGTGTTTCTTTTATATGTACATATGCTGTTTAAGTTCATCTATTTTTGTTTATATTGTTTGCCTATTTTTATTATTTAATTTATTTTGATATATATGTTGCAATGTTTTCGTAATGTTTTTTAATTATATATTCACAACGTTTTGTTCTATTTTAATATATATTTTGTAAAATAAAAGTATTTTTTTATTATTACATTTGTTTTTGTTTTTGTTCACAATTTCAATAATATCAATACAATACAATAAATATGAATACGAAGATATAAGTACCCGCTATTAAATAAGTACCAAAAAAAAAAGAAAAAAAATATCGGCAGCCGCTCCCCAATACTTTCTATCTGATAATTTGTTTGATTCTATATTTTGCTAGGTACAGTAATCTCTTGTGTATTATGTTCCTGGAATATCACATGAATGTGGAATTAGCAAATGTTGAGTCTATCTTCCTATGTTATACAGGGGGTTAAGTCTTATGGCTACCAACAAAGACAAAAATATTTTTTTCATTTTATTAAATAAGCATTTATAATAGTAGTTTATAAAATTGATGATTGATTCATAATGAAATTTGTGCCTACTAAACAAAAATTAAATTAAGTACTGAATCGCGAGTAGTTATATGTTATTATTTATTTAATAAAATGCCAACCCTACTGTCAGTAAGGTTCTCCATGAGCTGATCAAATGATTCATGAAACATTTCAATTTTCCTACTTTTGTAAACCACACCTATTCCTAAGTGTATTTCTGATTAAATTACTTTTGTTAGTTTGAAAATTTGTTTATGTAAAATATAAAAAAGTAGAACTTTTTCAATGGATTGCTGTTCCATACTTTCGATGAGTGGAAACATATCTAATAATGATTTTGTATGTATTTTTAGCTTTTCCAAACAAACAAAAAATTATAAATAAAAAAGAAGGTAAATTTTATATTAAATGTGAATAAAATAGTTTTTGTTCATGCTGTAATGATACTTTATATATCCATAAGAGATGCCCATTGATATATTTACTTTATTGATCAGATTATAGTATGTAGGTTGTGAGAAATTTATTTATTTATTTTTTTAAAGATTATTTTCATTATCTTGATATACTTCTTAGGTCTTTCTGATATCAGGGAAAGTTATTATTTCTTTTAATTTTACAGATGGAGGTAGTTTACGTAGTAGTGGAAAGTGGTCCCGACAAAGTGGAGGTATGATAGGATTGGTAGAAAGTCTCCGAGAGTCTCGACCGAAATCTCCACACATGAATAATGAGGAACCCATAGAGCTAGCTCATTTTCCTGATGCACACCCCCCACGTCCCAATGAAAAACCTAAAATTGAAAGAGATGATTTTCCTGCTCCCCCTTATCCATATACTGACCCTGGTGAGTTTGCTTTTAATTACTTTTCCTCATTTATTTGACTTTTCATGTTAAATGCATTTGACTTATTACAGAGAGGCGACGACGTTGGTCTGATTCTTACAAAGGAGTTCCTGATTCTGAAGAAGAAGATGAAGTAGATACCACTTCTGCTTCTACAAAACCTCCTGAAACCAAATTAAAGGTTAGAATTTATACTGTTCATAATTTTTGTTTAATAATAATAATAATTGGCTAAACCGATAATATTCAATTTTTTATACAGAAGGAGGAAGCTGAGCTGTCTAAACTCTCTTCTGGCATGGGTCGTGTGTTCTTGGCCTCTGTTAAGGAACGGGAGAGATTAATGCGACAACGGCAGCTCGATCCAAGAAATGCGTCAAGGTCTCCTTCAGCTTCTTCTCAGCCTTCTCTAAGACTCAGATATCAAAGTCCTATCAATGCTTGTGAGTATTACCTCATTCCTTACAATATTTGCTCAACAAAGCATGTTCCAGGTTAAATACATATAATTCTAAATGTATAATTTTTTTAATAGATCTTTTTATTTTTATTGAAAAAAGTATTCTCAATTTTGATTGTTCTTTTAGTTGTTTTATTATCACAAGTCAAATTATTTCAATTTTTTTTTTAGGGATTACTGATATTTACCTTGTTGTTGAATTGACGTATTTCCATCTGTGTATCTTTTTTGTTTCTTATTGATATTTTCATTGGGCTTTATGGAATATGATATATTTTTTAATAGAATGTTTTCCATGTTATTCAATCTTCATCTCCTAATGTTATTCATTTATTGACCATTATATGATGTAACAATAAAGTTCAAAGTTTCTGATAAAATTTCTGCCTATGGTTTAAAGTTTTTTTTTTTTTTTTTTAATTTTGATTCTAAAATTTATCTTTTCCAATTTTTGAAGGAAATTAGTCGACTGTTCTACTTAACATGGGTGATAAATAGTCAGAACGCAGTCATTGTGAATTTTTTTATTTATTAAATATTTATTTATTTTTTAAAAAAATATTCACAATGACTGCGTCCCGACTATTGATCACCCATATCTTTACCAATATTGATTTTGAACTGTTATAGTCGATAAGTATTTCAGAAACAGTTTATTTGCTGAACAGATAGTAAATTTTTATTAGCATTTCTATCTTGTTGGAACTTATGATGAACTTTATATTCAGAAATTCTTATTTAATTCGTAGATGATGGGGTGGTTATTTTTTTTTTGGAAACAAGACACGATCAGTTAAAACTTTGAAGTGAAGTTTAAATTTCTTTAATGATTTTTTGTTCCGCAGGTTGGGAACTCACACACAAAATTAATATGTATCTACTTTTTTTGTTTGACTTGTGGGAAACTAATTAGGTACATTATTGTATAATGCGCTATATAAGCGTATATGTTTCTTTGTTTTTTAAAAATATAAGATTTTCTATTTCAAAATGATATTAGTTATTAAATTGATGTAACATTTGTTTAATTTTTAAAAGGAATGATATTATATTTTTAGGATGATAAATAATCAGGATTTGCAGTCTAGATTTTTGTTTCATTCAGCTTGCCAACGTGTTGACCGAAGCATGTTGGCCATCATGAGTGCCATGATTACTGTCATCATACTATCATAAAGTCTTGATAGTAATCATTGTCCTAATGATGACTCGCTTGCTTGGGTAGAAATGTTGGCTAGCTGAATTCATTGTCATTACTTTAAACAAAAATATTCATCTTTGAAAAATATATTGTAAGTTCTTTCCCTAGGAATGACTTTTATATTGTTTTAAGTGAACATTTATTTATAGCAAAATGAAATGTGATCAATATTACCGGACTTAAATGATTATTAATTTTGACTCATAATTTCAAGTAAGAATTCTCTTAGCTTAATGTATGTATTGCTTGAAATGTCTCCTGACATGCCTAGATTATTTCTGTACCTTTGTGATCTACGCACTTGTTTAGATAAACGTAGATTTCCTTTTGATATTTCTTGAGATAAAAAGTAGCAGTAATGTTTTAGTTGTATTGCTGGAACCAGTTAAATTATTAGAATATGCAAGGCATTATTTGAATTAATCGTTGTGGTTAGCTTTATTTATTCTAATTTCCATCTATCATCTAAATGTGTAAATTATTGATTTTTCCTTTTGCTAGTTGGCTAGGTGCCTTGCATGTCACATTTTATATGAAAATTATCACTAGAACTCATACACCCTTTATGTTAAAATTTACAAAATAAATAAAATAAAAAATAACTAATTTTCTTCATTATTATTTTATCTCATTCAATTTATGTTGTTGTTTGTGAAAAAAAAATTAATTAAAGAATGGAACAATGTTGAGCAGAACTTTGTGGTTCAGTGTAGTACATTGTCGAAAATAAAAACTGAACATCAATATTTAGGCTAACGCCAATAAAATATGATTTGATGCAACTTAATTTTATTAAGTAACATAAATGGGCTCAAAAATATTTAAATTATTAAGCTTTCAGGGTTTTTCAATTTCAATATCGGGTTAGGTTATTACTAGATGATAACTTACTAATTATTTGCTCATGGTTTATTAATTTCAACCCCAAAAATTGACATTCATATGCTACTACTAGATACAATACTGGTATGATATATGATATTAACACTTTGTTAGAATAACACATAAATCTAATTTGATTAGTTCTTTTATATGAAAATTGGACTACGTCTGAAGGACATTGTCTTAATCCTGTTTCATGGAAGATTCAAGCCATTGGACTGACTTATAATAAATCCAAAAATAAAAATAATTTTCTTTATGGAGTGAAACAGAGTTACAAATTGCAAAATAAATAAGTAAATAAGAGTATAATTTTTCTTAATAATGCATAATTATTTTATCAACCAATAATTGTACATCCAATGCAATAAAGTTATGTAAAAGTAAGTTTTTTTTTTTTTTTAAATGAGCTTATAAATATCTGTGATAGTTTCGTGTAGATCTTCTGATGAAATTCTATTAATGGATTAAAATGGTGTATGCACCAAACGCTATTATAAAGTTTTGAGTGTTGCAATGCATTCATTAAAAAATAAATTTAATTTTTTTTTGTGGATTTTAATGTGTTATGATTGCTTTCTGCACTCATTTATAGCAATGAAAGATTTGTGACCAATTTTTGAAAACAGCATGAGAAAAAAAAAAATGAAAAGAATTTGAATGGTGTAGTGTGGATTGTGAGTGATGAAGATGTTTGCAGCTCCTTCAAGGAACTTGGACGCACCTCGGCCATGGGACGATGAGGATACCCTCGATAGATGTTCCAGTTATCGATCTTCAGTGGGCCGCTCCATCCCTACCATTCCTACTTATAATGGTAAATATTCTTCGGATGGCTAATAATAATATTGCATCAACTACTTAACATCATACTTAGATTGGATTTTCGCCATTTTCTATCTTCTACTTTTATTAACATAGCCTGGTTATTATGATTACACTTGGGGTGATGAATTTTCTCTAACTTTTTCGATTTTTTTAATTTATCAAAAACATCCATTTGCTTATTTTAGTTCTTTTGTTTTTCTGATATTAGAATTTGATTATTGTCTAAAATAATTATTTTTTATTTTTTTTTAAGTTTCTCTTAATTACTGAATGTCTTGAACACCTTCAGTGCTGGTAACATGCCCTGATGATGAACCACGTGCTTGTGTTGAAATCTAGGCAAGAAAAAAAATCTTAAAATGACTGTGTCCTGACTTATTTATCACCCATGAAATATTTATATAATATAAAGCTCATCTCTGCTCCAAAGGCGATGGCGTATGACTCTCGCTCCTAAGAAATTTTATTAATCTCTTCTTAACACATTAAAGGCGGGAGTCGTAGTGCTACGATTTATCTCAACTAGCATACTTTCGTCAAGATCCCCCGACTTTAATGTGTTAATAACTGCACCAGTGAAAGTAAATTTATAAAAATTGAACTCATTTACAATCACACTTTCTGTGATCTGTTCCATCGTTTTCCTTCTTCTCTGGTTTGAAAGTTCTTGCAAATTAAAACTTCTTATAGTTCTCCCCTAAATTCATATCTCCGTAAAAATGTGTTCCCCTCAAAAATTTACAGACCTTAGAAATAAGCCCCCTTCAAACATTTTGGTGCGACTTGTGCCATTCGGCCCTGTTCATGCACTCATGTTTATTACTCTGTAAATATTATTGCACATATATCTGTAAATATGATTACACTAATATATCAGTGTTATCTTCTTTCTTGAGCTAGGACATAAAGCCTAGTTCCTTTAGCTATCCAAGTTTTTTTTTTTTTTTTCTTTCTTCCCCTCATTGATGTTATAGGCTGATGAATATGTTGATAAATATGTCACTAGGGCTGTTATTTATTATTATTAAATAAATTTGTTCACAACTCCCAGGTTGTGGGCTAGATTTAAGAATTAAGGGCTAGAAAATGAATGCGGTACATATTGTTGAAACAAAATTGGTAGTATTTGGTGGTAAAAGTACCTTTCCATTTTTAGTGTATCAACTTTAGAGATTTTTTTTATTTGTGAGAGTAGATAATATTAAAAGAAAGTTAATGGATGTTGATAATGATTTTTTCTTGCTTTCCATGTTATACTTATAACTGATCTAATAATATTTATTACTAATAGAATTTATTCCTTCCCTCTTGAGCATTTAGCATGTTATAATAAAACCAGGTTTTATTGAATTTTGTGGAAGACAGTTATAGAATTATATTTCAATTATAAAATATTAAAAACAATCATACATTATTTAATTTATCAAAATATTTCTTTAGTTACATATTTTTTCATGTAATACATCATTTATCTGCATTAATCAATAGTTTTATTTCTTTAATTACACAACAAGACAAATGTATCTTGTTGATGGGTTTATGCCATAGTCAGCCATAAAAAAGAAAAAAAAAAAAAAGATATAGATATATTAGATTTTCTTGACATTTTGTAGATACAAATTTGAACATGGTTCCCCAGCTTTGTGTTTTTTCCCCTTAACTACGTGTGAATAAAAATATATTACACATGGTAAGCAAAAGTAGAGGATTTAATTTGATAAAATTAATATTGACCGATCTATTTATGATCTATCTATTTACGTTATTCCCCAGCTTTAGAAAAATTTAAAATTGGACAAGCTGTTTTTCGAAATATACACAGGTGAAATGAAAATATTTTTTTACGTGTATAAGTTAAAATGAGTTCAAACATAAGTAAGCGAAAGTAGAGGATGAACTTTGTATGGGACCATTTAGGTAGCAAACCCACATAGCTTCTGATAATTTCATCAGAATCGGTTGACAGTAATAGATGTTAATTTTGAATTTGATTACATAAAAACTGAATAGACTTTGTTTCTTGATATCTGAAATGTAAAATTCGAGGAAGGGCAAACATTTTGGTTTTAAGATTAGATTAAAAAAAGTATTAAGCTACTTGGTTTTTTGCTAGAGTACTTGACCGATTTTTTTGTAGATTTGGTTTCTCTAAACTGATTTTATCATTCGATTAATGGTTTTTTAATGCCATATTTAAAGATAAAGGAAAAATTCAATGTTTTTTTAGGATCATTGCAAAGTAAAAAATAAAGTAATAATATTGAATATTTAATAGTTGACCGTTGCATTATAAAGGAAGGAGATGGTCTAGGAGTTTCACTTAGAACACATCAGTTCTAAGTGAAACTCCTAGATGAACACACCTCCCTGATGAAGACCTGCAAAATCGGGTCGAAACGTTGGCTTTCAATAAAATAGTTTTACCACTATTTAGCCTTTTTATGACCGCAACCCCGGACCATCTCCTTCCTTTTTAAAGTAATAATAGTTTAGTATAATGATTCCAGAAATTTTATTTTGTTAGTTATCTATTAGAAAATAACCATTGTGTAATAATTTGCAGCTTTTTTTTTTTCTTCTAATTTTGTGGCTGGGTATATTTTAGAAATTACAGTTTTTTTAAATATTTGTTCAGGTAAATGATGTGAAAATAATTATTATGTCTTAAAAATTAACCAAGCATTATATTTCTTTGTAGTTGCTAATAACCAATTATTCTCAGTTTCTAATTTTCTTTTGCCATAGCTTCAAATTACCATTTAATAAACTTAGGTTTCTCTTTATAATTTATTCTTCAAATATTTTTTTTCTTTAACAATTATAGTGATAATATTTTTTATATTAGTAGAATAATGTTATTAATAACTATCTATGTGTGTTTATATATGTACGTATATACGCATACATACTTGTTATAGTTATAACATAGGTATATATATGTGCTTTTACTTGGGCTTGGGCAATCTTAATTGTATATGAGTACTGAGTAATTTTACTCAAACTATTCCAGTGTGTATAACAGTAATTATTAACACTCCAAAAATCAAGAAAATATATACCTTATAAGTATCATATTACAAATGTTTAGTTTGGGGAGCACATCTTTCTTTGTCTTAATGTTGTTAATTGATTCGGCATCGATTCTGCCATTTTTAGATTTCCTTTTCATGTATAGCTGTGTTTTGGCACAGTTGGTCAAGCTCATAAAAGTGTTGGTTTTCCCTTATGGATAATTTCTCACCTTTTCAATAAATTATAATTTATCATAATATTTTTGGCCTATTTACATTTAGTATTTTAACAAAAAACTTTTCTCTAATAATAACTTATTGTTAGTTATATCTCCATCACTGTAAATATTTATTATATCTTTAATGCAACTAAGAATGTTATTTATATTATGGTGTTTATTTTGCATATTAAAATAATGTCGCAATGTCAAATAATGAAAAAAATATAAAATTTTGTTTTATCCTCCCTGAGTAACCATGAAATTAGTTCCAAATTTATTTTACTGTAAAGTTGGAAAATTGTTGTGCCCAAAGGTTTTTCTACTTTGATAATTAACTTATTTTTTTTATTGATTACACATAGGTTTGAGTTGAGTACTGAAACTACTCAGTACTCAAAAGTTAATAAGTACTTGAATAATGCCCACTTCTGCTTATATTATTTATTAACAATGATATATAATAGTAAATGCTAGTGATGTTTGAGCAAATTAAAACTTGCTTATGATGATTAACTCAAATTTTAATCATCGAGTATGTTTTCCTATTTTATATAATGAGGATGGAATCAAACAAATTGGTTTATGTACTACGGTAATGTTTGTAAGTCAGTTCCTATTTTTTATATAATGGAGCATGTTATTATTTTGCATGTTGGATGATATCTTTCAATATAATTTTTTTTATCATTTTTCTTTTTTTTTTCCTACTACCTTTTCTTTACGGATTAAGGAATGCATGTATTATAATTTTATCTCTTAGTTTGTTTATTTTTTCTTAATATTAATAATAAATTTATGTGTAATTATTAATATTAAAACTTAAATTAATTGTAAAATGTAGTTTTGTCATCAATTCTCAATTTTATATCTCTCTTTCAGCCTTAATTAGAGCACATAATAGTGTTTATTCTAGTACATTGTCGGATTGAAGGTTTAAGGGATCAATCGACGTTTCTGGTGTGAATATGAAGTTTGTTATATGGCTGAAACTAAAATACGCTTCAGTATTGACAATTTTGTCAGTATTGAAACATAGATTTTAGGTCTAGGTAGATAACAAACTACTTCATCCTCACATAAATATCGGTTGTTCACTTTTACTGTCAACCTTTCGGTATAACTAAAGAGAATTGAAAAATACCCTAATTGGTTAATTTAAGTTTTAAAAAAAAAAATAGTTTTTTATCAATTTGCTTTTGTTAAAATTGGCCTACAAAATATTTTCATTATTATTTTACTTGAGGAATATTTGCTTGTTTTAATTGTCTTTACAACTCTGCTCTTATTTTATTTATTTATTTTTAATTTATCCTTATATTACTTAAATCTGTTTTTGTTATGTTAATTAATGCTCTCACTTTGCCTTTGCCTTCACTATCACAAAATAAATGTCCATAATTGTACGTACTGTTAGATACATTTGTATTAACTGTATTCATAAGGATTGTAATTTTTAATTTGCAATACTTTGGCTTGTCTTCCATCATGAATATAGTGATCTCAATAATCATGGGTCAAATGTAATGAAATTATTCTATGATTCCTTAATTTATTGTTATTTAAATAATTTATAACCTAGTAATAACAACCTTCTCTTTTAATAAAGTACTTCTTCTTGTCCTGTCTTTCTTTATCACGTATTACGGTGACAAGTTTATTAATTACTTGATAAATGGTTTCTTGTTCCGTTAAATCGTTTTCTATCCTATCTTGGTTTACTCTCATATAACAGACTGTTCTAATTATTCTACCTTCCTTTATTGTCTGCTTTTCTGATTAAGTATCTTTGCTTATCTAAAATTCAGAATTTTATTTACAGTCGATGATTGATTATTATAATTGAATAAATTAGTTTTAATGAAATAAAAGTATATTAGACCCCTAATAATTCGTTTTTATACTGTTCTACCCAAAACTCGAGACCATCCACTCTCTTTTTGGACCGTCAGTTTAAGATTCGTGTTTCTGTTTCATTGATACTCATATCTAAACATCAAAATAGTTTAATAGGAAACAGTATCCTATACGGATACTGCCAAGCTGTTTTAGTGTGGTGCGAATCTCAATTCACTACCTAGAGAGAAAAAAACATGATTTAGAAATAAAGTTGAACTTTTTAGGAAGCCTACTTGTAATCGAAATTCAAAGTTTCTTTTAAATAAATTATAACCTGTTCATTGAATTGAGAGAATTGGAGTTACTTAAATAGGTATTGAAAGGATACATGATCTTCCACTATGTGTTACAGAGGCTTAGCCACATTTTTCGATTTGGAAAAGGAATTGTTTCTTTATAGTTTATTTTTTATTCGATGCTCATGATTGATTTTAAATTTTTATATTTACTTTGTCTTAGATGAATCTTAAGCCATCTATAACAAAAGATGTAGCAGAATGTATTCCATCTGCACATAATGTTCTTTCATCCCAAGATTCTATCTTTCAAAATAAACTTATTTTTTATACTAAAACTGAAAAAAATATGGTAAAGTAAAAAAATAATTAAATCATATAAACTATTTTCCTTCGTAACGATAACGAAGCATTAATATAAATACTTTAAATGTTTAATTTATTATGTAATTTATTTAATGTGTTGTTGCTTGATACCAACTGAAGTGTAGGGAACTCATATATAGAGGGTACAGTCTCTGTAACACCTAGCAGAGGATCTTATAGACACATCCTCTCAGCGCCTATTTCTTTTTATTTACTGGTAATGGTACTAGTGCGAGGAACTAGTCCGAATCCCTGACGGATACCTTGAGGTTGCCACTACCTTACGTTCTCTTCTTTTTATTTAAATTCTCTCCAATTTATAGAATCGGTATTTTTTTTTTTCGGTTGGCACGAGATGTGGTCTCCTAGGACACATCCCGATTCCCGATTTAAAGTATGGGGTAGGGTCATCAACCCTCATGCCCAGTTGGTGTGAGTTGCCTCCAATAGCCTGACGGGCCTCACATACCCAGGGGGAGAGGAATCTTGGGTAGCGTGGCTTTCCTTGGTGTGGGCAGTCACCCTAACAACGCTCGGCGTTGCTTTACTTTGATATTGGTATAAGGGAGATTTATTGGGACTCGACTATATTCATCGAATTTAACTTTGATTGAGAGATTGATTATGTAAAATGTAAACTTGACGGAACGGACAAAAACGTCATCAACACATGATATAATTACATATTTTAATCAATGACAATAAATATTTGTTTTTCTATCATTATGTTCCTTATCATTTATATTATCTATTTTTTACTTTTAGGTATCTTATAACAGAAATAAAATGTTATCAATCAATTCAGCTTATTTCCCCTCCATTTTTTCTCCCTTGTGAATAATATACAATATTCGATAACCTATACTTCTTTCATAATTGGCAACCTTGTGTTGTATTCATTGTTTGGTAATATTTCTTCTCTTATTTTTTTATATTCTATTTAATAGCTTTATATTTTATACCATGAACTTTTTCAGTTTTGTTGTGCTGCATCTTAATTTTATTTTGTTTGATTCACTCACTTGTAGCTTAGACTAGCTTTTAGAGTGTGTTGCATGTGTGTTGTAGCCCACGGAGGTAATGGCCACCACCAGATGATCGGAAAGGCGTCCACCCTCCCGCCGATGGTGTCTCCGAGGTATATGGTAAGTAGTTAGATGTAGCCCTATCTAAGAGACCCCTTCCCCAATAGATATTGTTGACGTTCTGTTACAGTTGTCAGTTCATTGAGGCAGGTTCCTAAGCCTGGCTACGGCCTTGCTCCGAGGTCTCATACCTTCAGTACGACTACTGTAAGTCCCAAGTCAATATAAAGTGTGTCCTTCATTTTCTTTCTTTTTTTTTTTTTTATTTATTTGCTTGTAGTTTTTTTTTGTTTAATAATTCTTGTTTTGTTTTTTTTATATATGGGCATTCTAGTTGTGAATTTTCACTAGATGTGCTTTTTAGCAAATTTTATTTTGCAGTTGCTTTTGGAATTTCTCAGCAGTGGCTATCATTTTTTGGTTCATTTGATTATATTTAATTGTTGATTAAAATGATATTGTGAAACTATGAAAACTCAGCCATGTGTGTGTTTTCTAGGAATAAATTTGTTTTTTGTCTGTTTATTTTGAAATTTGACATGTCTTGAAAGTTTAATTGTCTAATTACTATACTGATGCTTTGGTTACTCTCATATTTTGCATGATTTTAAAAACAAATGGTGATTTCAACTTCCCTTTGAAGAGGCAATAATTATTGATCTCATGCCAACATAGCTCGTTATAGTTTACAGGTGTATGATGGTTAGTTAAACTTATGTCCTGACCTTTTTGAAAAAAAAAATCTAATTGAAATGGAATTTCCATCTCCACTATTTTAGTCTGTGACTTATACTATACTTGGTATTTTATCACATAGATGTGAAAAGAATCAAATGGAAATAAACTTTTATTTCAAATTTGAATGGCGGTACTTTTTTCTCTTAGTAAATATTTGTTGACCACCCTACCTGAGAATTGAACCTTCACCATGGTTGTGTTGTTAATCTTGGTCATCATTCAAAAGAGGATATAAAAAATATATTTACTCAGTTTTATAAAATAACCACTGATCCTGATTGAGAATGTGAGTTTAAAGTAATAATTGGTAAATACTTGGTATCTAAGGGGCAATATATTTGGATTAATAGTTACTTTATCGATGAAGTTTCTAGTATTTTTATACTTAATTTCGTTTTTTTTTTTTTTAACTGTTGCATCAACTTGAAGAATTTGTTTAACATGTTGTATTATTTTTTAAGTATTAATGATTTAAGCTCTCATTTGTATCAGAAGTGAAATTTCTTGTTGGTAGTTTCCTTGAAGCATCTTTGATTTTTTGTATCTTCACGTCATTTATATCAATCATATTGATTGCTTATATTTAAACTCCTTTTTGTCTCGAGTTATCTTAAGTCCATCCTTTAATAGGTCTGTAGTTATCTTCGTAAAACTTAATAACATCATCTATGTCAGTTTTCTGCAAAATGCTTTCCATGTGAATTTCAGTTCTCACATTTTGCATTTAACATTATTTTGTATTTTACTGTTTTGTTATTTTTATACATTTTTTTATTGTCCTTTTCTCTAATTTTTTATCACTATGCTTTTGTGCACATTTTTATTTATGTCCTTATGTCCATTATTTGTAAATTGATTTATTCTTGTATTATATTTTACATAATAGAATATATTTACTAAATCATTTTTTTTTTTTCCATTTTATCAGATACAATCAAATTTTATTAAGAGAGATTTCTACAAAAAATAAAGTATTTAGAAATTTTTTTATGTTCAAAAAATAATATATGTTCAAACTAAGTATATAATTAAAAAATGTGTATAATCATATTTCATAAATATGTGTATTAATAATATACATATTTTGTATCTTAATTAAGAATATTATTATTGTTACATACATTGAGATATATACTGCCAATGTCATATTAAAATAATATAAATTTAAATTTTTTAGAACTTAAAAAAAATATATTTGAAATTATTTCCACAGAGATTTTGGCATTCTTTCATTTAATTATATTCAAGTTTTATTTTTGGTATTGATCTTACAAATATTTAATTGTGCCCAAATATCCAATAAGGAACCTTCATAACAAGGAATTTTCATTTTCATATAGAATAAGATTGATATGTATGTATACATTTATAAATTAATATCATACTTTATAGAAGATAATTTAACAAAAATCTCAGTTTGTTCGTTATTGCTTATTTGGATGCAATTATGGGTTTTTAACTTGAAAAGAAGAAAAAATTGTAAATTAATTTTTTTTTTCTTTCTGGAATTTTTATTTGATATAAAGAGGAGAGTATTAATTATTTTTGATGATGGTGAGTCCTGGTTAAACAACATAAAGCAAAACAATTAGTTCATGTCTTTAATTATTGATTTATTTTATTTTGTAGATATTCAAGAAAATTAAATTGATATATGAAAATTGAACATATTGAGATTCTCTTTATATATATTTATTTGAAATCACTTCATATTTTTTTTATTAATTTGATGTAATTAGAAGAAATATTAATTATCTGCTTATATTTCAGGGTGATTTTTCCTATAGTGGGCTTGGAGACAAAGCTCCTAGCACTGACTTCAGTAGTGCTAAATCAGATGGTAAATTTTATGTATATATTTAATTAAGTAATAAATAAGTTAATGGTGGAATATTAATTAATTATTATTTTTAATTGTAATTAACTTTTTTTACAGTTTCTGCTGGATCCATATCAGAGGTAGATAGAGCAACAATGGTAATTTTATTGCTATTATTTTAAAACCTTCATTTGACTAATTCTAATAATATTCTGTCCAATATTGTATTGTGCTTGCATGAAAAAGGTATTCAAGTAAACTAAATATAGATTGTTACCAAAACAGTCCCATGTTTTATTCATTTTATAGTTCGAGAAGCTTTTGCTCCACATTCATTTATTATTTTCTATCTATTCATTTGAATGGCATCTATACTGTTTATCAAAACTTCTTCAATCATAAAATATTTTTGAGATCGTTGAAGGAGAATATACATTTTTATCCATTCTACAGTTCAACCTGTATTATTGTGATCAAAATTCTAAAATATTTTAACCATTTTAAAAATAAAATAAATTAAAAATAGCACTATATTTTATCGGAATGTATTCCTAAATGTTTGCAACACTACTTTGCACTATTTTTGTATTATTATTAAGCAATAACTTCTATCCAGTTTTTCTCTTTCTCTTTTTACGAACCATATTGAATTTGCTTGTTTTAAAATCAGTTTGATATTAAGAAAACTTCTTGAATATGACAAATCTAATAATTACTGGAAAAAGCAAAATTCTCATGGTGTTCAAAAACTATTCATGACCGTTTTTACTGAATATCATTTTTACTGATAGTGCATTTTACACGTTATCCAAATTATAGTGACCACTAGCGTATGAATATTTTTGCGCATGTTTCTTTTGTAGTCTGTTGGATACAAACCAAAATGAGCTTGTGAAAAGCATCATATAATCACCTGTCTTGCTAGAGAACTCAACAGATATTTTATTTTTCTGCTCTGTTTTTCAAATTATTTATTCTGTTTTATTGGCCATGGGGCGACCCTGAGTAGATAGACTGGTACCTATAATTAAAATAATTGATTAAAGGGAAAAATCTGGCGGTTGAGCGTGATCCCGGTCAAATCACCTCCTTGCACAACCGTAGACCAAGAAACAGTGCTTCTCTAAATAGTACTGAACCCATGACTCTTCATGAGTTGTAATGGTGTAGGTTTTTTTTTTTTTATCTTAACTAATCCTACCAAAAGTTAGTCATTCTAAAATGAAGATTAATCATTATTTTAAATTTTAGCACAATATTAAAACAATTTAGTATTTTCAAAAAATTATTTACAGAGTGTCGGAGGTGCTTCTTATCTGAGGAGGTCGCTACCTAACATGTGCGCCATACAGCATCCTGGAAAGGTGTACCCATATCATTTATTAATTACTTCAAATTACAGACTGCCACCTGACGTTGATAGATGTAATTTAGAGGTAAATAGGATATTTTATTTTGAAACAAATTGTAATATGGTATAAAAATGCTCGAAAAGTAGTATTGATTAAATCTAATTGATCTTATCTATAATTTTTTATTGTAAAATATGCAATGGGCTCCTCGAACTTTTCATGTAATTATTGATAAGAGAATTAAAAGAGGAAATATGCATGGCATTCATTAACAATTAGTGGAAGAATCTTTTGTTGTTTAAATAACAATCAACTTACATACTAATGCCTGCACTTAAAAGTATATAGTCCAGATTATTTTTAGTAAAGAATATTAAATAAATCAAAATATTAAATGAGCAATAAAAATTAAAACTTAATCCAGCCGTTCACACTAAAATCGTTATATACCCTGCAGATTAATTAAACACATTTTATTCAATAATGGAAAAATGTTTAAAATGTTATTCTCACTGAAAACACTTTATTTCCTATTCGATTCCTAATAAACCTCTTAAGAGAATATGGCTTTCTGATTTCTTAATTTAAAAATGTTATTATAGTGTACCATTGGGTAGTTTCTGAACGAGTCGTTTCATGTCATTATGTTTCTTTGTTCACATTTACTAAATGTATTTTTATTATTATGGTGGTTTTTATTATATTAATATTTTTAGATTAAGATGTGTCAAAACATATGACAGGTGTTTTGGAACATTAATTTTGTTTCAAGTCTGCAGTTTTACGCTTCAACATAACTTATAGAGTTGCATTCACCAATAATTCCCATTTAAATGTTAACTTATTATTATGGTATAGAAGAAGAATTTTTAATTAACTTCATTGTACTTCTACTAAATTTGTTTTATATATATTTTAGATTAATGTTCATATTTATCCTCTTCTCTTAAACTATTATTGCTTTTATTTTCAGCGACATTTATCTGAAGCAGAATTTGAAACACTCTTCCAGTGTACCAGGAGCGAGTTTTACAGACTCCCGCAATGGAAACGTAATGACCTCAAAAAGAGAGCACGTCTTTTTTAAGTTAATTGTTATTCTGATATCCAAAAGATCGGAAGATCATTCTTGAGAGATATTGTTGCTTGCATATCAATTTGACATATAACTCGCCATAATTGCATGATTGGATTTAATGCTGAAGCATATATTTATCAAATTGAAACAATTTCAGTATGAGAACGTATAACAAGAATGTCTTTCTATTATTTTGGATTGAGAGGAGTCAAGCACAAAGATTATATATATATATTTAAATACATAAGAAAAAAAAAAAACTATTTATTAAACTGCCTTAAAAGTTCGTGTACTTCAGTTCTCAAAGAGAATGTGGTTGGAGATATTTAAAAAAACCTGAGATTGTTATTCCATTTGTGATAGGGCCTAAAATATTTTTGGCCTTATAAATTGTATTTTCTTATCATTGTATAAGTTTTCCCTTCTCCTTTTCTTTTCCTGCACTAGTCTAGTCTTTAGTATAGAAGAGCATATATTTTTCCCAAATGAAAAAAAAGTAAAAAAAATATATATATACATATAAATAAGATGAAACCCAACGTTTATTACTTTGTTGTCTTTTAGAAGAAAACCTATATTCTGTGTTTTAATAAATGATTAAAATATGAGGTGCAATGTCAAATCAAATAAAACTGATATTAATTTAGAGGTGCTCATATTGAAGTTGCTTTCTAGTAATTATAATTATAGGATATTTATTACCCCTTGGACTCACTATTGGTGTTGGTTTTAGTCTCATGGAGGCCTAAAAAGGCAGCATATTTACAATATGTTTACTTTTTCCTTCTTCACTTTTCCCTGCTTCGGGGAGTTAGTTCTTACTAACTCAAATGTGGTGCTTTTTCGAGCCAGTATTGGGTCCCTCGTGCTTGAAAGTGAAACTTTTTTTTTTAGCATAAATGAATATATGCTTTTATTATGTAAGAGAGCAAACACTTCTTTACGTATTTCGTAATACTTTCTGGTAATTTTATCTATTATTCCTTTTTTTTATGTGTTAATTTGTACTTCAATAGAGCTGATAAATAATTGATTATTCTCTTAAATTTCTAATTGATTCTAGCTCTTCCTATTTGAATCAACATTTCATAATTATGATAAATGTTTTTTGCATTATGAACATTTAATATGCTATTTTGTGTTGTTTTCTTTTTTTTTTTGAAGTTTAATAAACAATATATTTATTAAATGTAAGCATCTTTTAAAACCTATATTCCCTATACAAAATGACTTATTTATTTTTTTCTTTAGAAGTTAGTCGGTTGTGCGACTGGGTTTGAGACTTATGAATTAGTCTCTGTTCTAATTCCGACACTGCCCAAATGGAACATGCTGAAGAAGAGTATAACACAAGTTGAAACATTAGAAAATTCAATAAAAAAAATACTGATATGAGAAGAAGTTGGTTGGGGGTGCGGTCAAATAAATACTATGTATTGAAATAGCTATTTCATTGTTTACACCGACGTTTCGACCCACTTTGTAGATCTTCATCAGGGTGTGGTATCAGTCATTGCGGGAAGCAGTTGGTAGACTGTTTATTTATTATTATTTTTTTTTTTTTTAGAGATGTTTGACCGTGATTATAATATGAGAAATTGGTCGGGGGATGTGTTCAAATAAATACTATATATTAAAATAGCATTTTATTGTTTACGCCGACGTTTCAACCCATTTTATAGGTCTTAATCAGGGCATTCATGTATTAGGCACTGCAGGAAGCAGTTAAAAAATACTAATATATTATAACATGTCTTATATTTTACAAATAATAATATAACCTCGAATACACTTTATACCATTGGGATACTTCCAAAAGAAATAAAAGGTTGTTAAATAAGTAAACAAAATTATAATAGTATTAATATATTAAATTGAAATTTATAATTATTTTATCTCAGGTATGGGTTACTGACAATCAGATCAAAGTAATCAGACAAACTATTATTATTTATACTAAAATTAAACACTGATTTTATAATAAAATCAAGTATGGACTGGCAGGCTAATCTTTTTTTCTATATACACTGTTTCTTACTTTGTGTCACTGAATTCATTTATCTTTTAACATTTTCCTATGTTCTACTAAACACATCTTCCAAAATGGTTACACTTTCATCTACTCAACTTCCTGGGAGATCCTTTCTCTTGTGATTCCAAACAAATTCCAAAATGGTAATACTATTACTGGGTTTTACCCACTGGAGCCAGGATCCCTTCTCCTATCCTGTTCACCCCAACCAAACACCAACTGCTTGCCAAAACAAAACTCCTTTTTCCCCTCTCCTTTGTGTGATTTTCTTTTTTTGGAAAACTACAGCTTTTCTTTTCCCTGAACTAATATAACTGGATAAGTTTGCTTTTTAACTGTTACAATAATTTATTAAACCATTTTTAACAACTTTCAATTAAGGTGCATATTATAATATTATATAATTGACCATCCCTCTCCCCCCCCCCCAACCAACTTCTCAAAGTTATAGCTACAGTCAACCATCTCCACACCATTATGACTTTTATTATTAATAATTAAATATTGTTTGAAATGCATACACGTGAGTATTATTTTTTATTATTATTACAAACGACTTAATAACCTTAGCAATAATTCTATACTTATAAGTGAATATGGATTTCCAATTTGTAAGCAGTAATTTTTACTTGTTTCATAGGTTGAAAAATAGCAGTTAAAAATAACTGACATGCCCACTCACATTATTTTCCCTACCATTTTTTTATTATTCTCAATTCATACATGATAATTCCTCCTATCTATTATAATAAATTATAAATCTGTATGTGAAAAATAACAGTAACTGCTTTTTAAAATTAAGTTTAGCTAACGTATTTTAAGTGCTAATTGAAATTCAAACAGACTTTATTTCTGCTTTACCGAAAAAGAAAGTTATTTTATTTTAGGACTCTTGCACATAAAACGTGATGTATCCCGATGACTCTATATCCTTGTTGGTATCACTGCGGATTATCACGTTTTTTGTGTCTTGTGCAATTTATTAGTAATCCAACAAATATTGTGTCTCTGAGACACATTGTGTTCTGTGTATAGAAGCCTTTAAGCTTGAAAAATTATTTGTAAAAAATAAATTTATTGGGTCCTTTTTAGTTTTAAATATTTAGAATGGAGGCAGTTATTGATCACTGAGAATAATTGTTTCTTTTCTGTATTTATAATTATAAGAGGTAAGTACGCATTGATTTTTCAATGTCAAACAGGTAATAAACTTCAACTGCCATTTTGTTATTCAAATACAGGATTTAACTATGATTACGATTAAACTATATATCAGCAATTTCAAATTCATACATAGTAGTGGATAAGATATACATAGTTGGATTCTAAAATATTTTATCAGTTTTGTTGTTAACAAATTCCAATTTTTTAAAAGATGTTATCAGGCTTTAATCCTTCTCCAATTAACACTAATCATTAATTAAAAATTTGACAAATTCTTATTAAAGACAAGATGGTAAGGTTTTAGTCATCATCATCTACTGCCTAGGTAATATGAGGAGACTCTCTGTAGAGCTTGACTCAATTATCCCTGTCCTGTACCAGCTCATTCCTCTTGGACCAATCTGAACCTCTTTGTAAACGCTTCCTTCACCTCATCCTCCCACTTCAATCTAGGTCTTCCTCTTTTACCTCCCACTCTTGTATTATAGGTACAGCTTGCTGTGACTTGGATCCATACGTAGTAGGCGACCAAGCCATCTCAACCTATTCTGTGTTGTGCTTTAGGTCGGCTTAGTCTTTATTGTTGTGTTGCGGACCTGGTCTCTTCTCGTCTTCAACTTTTCGGAGAAACCTTATTTTTGTTGCCTGAAGCATTGATTTATGTCTGGAAGTTGGGGTCCTTGACTCCCAGGAGAATGTTTTTAATTTGGGAAAAAGGTAGGTTTATGAACAGCCACCACCTCCAGGCTTCCACCACCTCACGGTGATTCAAAGTGCCTGCTTTCTCAACGTTTAACTTCCTGCTGCACCAAGGTTATTTCACTATCTTTATTCAGCTCTTCTTGGAGTACCTTAATGTTAAACTGGAGATCCCTATCATTGTTAACAAGCACCACCATGTCGTCTGCGAACGCCAGCAATGACAGATTTATTTGCCTCAATTAGTAATGTCCTAGGTGAAACTTTGTAACTTTTCTTTGCATTTTCTGGTGGCTTAATCCAGAACCAAAATGAATAGTAGTGGGCTGAGAATACATTCTTACCAGATCCCAGCGGTAGTCGCGAATTCTTTGGTGGTTTTATTGGTGAATCTTACTACACTTCTATTATTCTTATAGAGTAAGATTTTAGTATTTTTTTGAATGCTGGTTTTTAATTTACACTTGGACAAGTGAAATCGATGATGCTTTTAGGATTTCTCTTGTGGCCCATATTTATGTCGTGTTGAAGTGGCTCTTCTTCCTGCTGATAATGTTTCCTCAGAACTTGATCCATACCTAAAGCATAAACACCCAGCACCCTTCCTACGCATACAGCCTCTTACATTTAAAATTCTCAGTCCACTCACAGGAAACAGGATCCCTTCTCTCTGACCTATACAACCATTCCCATAGAACATTCTTTTTTAGTCCGCTCCATCATCTTCTAGTAGTTCTTTCTAATATTCATACCTATTTTCCCAACACACCCCAAACAGATTTTTTAATCATGACATCTTAAAGAAGTTTAATTTGAAGTAAATGAGTATCCAAAAAATATTTTTAATGTTTAATTTATAACTTTATAAATTAGTTATTTTTTTTCATTTTTATCTACTTACCTATTCTTCTTTTTTTCATTACAATTTCCTTTTTCTAGCTAATATATTTTCATAGATGATATACAGAATATAATGATTAATTATTATTAGTGTAGTCTTTTGGTCAGATACACTTTCTATTTTATTCCCAGATTTTTTGTTTCCAATCAATGATTGTAATAAAATAAAAACAAATGTAATAAACTGATTTTTTTATTATATTTTTCTATTATACATTTTTTTCAATGTTACTGATAAAGCTAACATTAGAAGGCTTGCCTTAAGCAAGAACAAAATAATAAATTAGCACCTTAAAGTAATTACAAAAAAAAAAAGAAAAAATTAAATATATTTTTCCCACCAAAAATATTAACATAATAAAGAGGACATTATTTTATAAAGATTATGTAAAGAACAAATTGTTTGTTGGAATAGAAGTGATCATCAACTGAAATGTTTGCAAGTTTGCTTTCTACCAGTGCTTAAGGCAAATCTACAATTTAGAAATAGCAAATTATTAATAATTATTGCAGATTTTAATTATTTATTAATAATTAGCATAAATTTGGTTCAGGCACAGATAGAAAGCAAACTAACCCATAGTTACAAAAATAACAATTGTTTTTACCTCCTAGACATGAGTTTAAGTGACTGATAATATTTTAGGAAGAAAATGTAACTATTATTACAGTTAAAAGTAATAATTTATATACAAATGTACAATAGTGAGAAACTGTGCTTATATTATATAACAGTTGAATTAGGAGCATATTCCACACATCTGGAAGGATTAGTGGGGAAAAAGTGTTGGCACTTCGTCATAAGTCTTTTTAATGCTTGGATATACTTCCTCTGAGTTTCATCATTTAATACATGGGCGACGTTCTTTGAAAAAATCTTTTCTCGACCTGTTCTTGCATGGATACCAACCATTGTTACTCCTATGGGCCAAGGAGCATTACCAATTGCCATCTGAAGATATGCATCACTCGCCTGTAAAAAACATTTAATGGATATAAAAAAATAACTAAAATTTATAGACTTCCAATGATATTATTCATAAAAATAATCTGTGTTCAGGAATAAAAAGAAGTTATTCCTACTTAAAATCCTATTCAATTAAAACAAAAAGCAAAACATAAATCTTGATGAACTAAGTTGAAGACGTGGTGAGTGGTGGGATAGACAATATCAATTACTCTCTCTCTTTTGAGTGATGATGTTTGATGTTACAACGAAGGTTGAAACATCAGCAATAACATCATAAAAAATAAGTTAATCTCAACAAACATCCTGAATTCACTTACTGGTAAACAGTACATATTGTTTATAATCCATAAAACTAAATTAAAATATTAAAGAATAATATGTAACTGTTAAATCTGGATGAATTATATCTTATACAACTCAAGAAAATATTTGTTTAAATTCCTAATATTATTCATGAATATGTGCTTCAAGTCTAAAATTTAACCAATAATTTTTTAGTATAAGAACGGTATTTTTTAAACATGTAAATTAAGAATGATCTTCACAAAAAATTGTTGACCGAATCTTAAGTTTGGTGAATGTTAAATAATTGAAAAAGTTCGCTTTCATCTGAATTTTATAATTTTTTTTTTTAAACAAACTAAAATTATTAAGAATGTTAAAGTAGTAATTAAGATTTTATACCATACACATACTAAGGGATATTTTACTTATATAAAAATGAGTGAATGATGAAAATGAGAATGCACAGTTGGGCCAGTTACAAGTATGAGTTTGTTTATTGAATGATTTTTAAACTTTTAATCCTTTTTATCTTATAATGACATTTTCTAAATTTATTTTATATTTAATTTAATTCAAAAACTAAAATAAAGATATGAAACAATTTCTCGATGTTTTCGAACTAATTTCAACAGATATTAAATTCTATGAACAACAAAGTTTTAATTGTTTTTGCAATATGTTTTTTTACTGAAGATTTTTTTTTAAATTTCTACTTTTTGACTTTCCAAAATCTAAATTATAATAAAAATAATTGTTGTATAGCTGTTACGTCATACATACCATGATATAGTCCCTGTCAAGTAAATGCCTAACAATTTCAGTAAGGCTATCTAAAATGTCTTCTGGAAGGGTTTTTGTTTTCAACTTGCTCAATAACGGCTTCAAATATTGTTGGGTCTGAGTATACGTAGCTAGAGCCATCTTTCCTTTAGTAGCCATTTTTTCTGAGTCGTTCCGTCGATTGAGTTCATCTCCCCATAATTTTAGTAGAAGCTATGCAAATGAGAATAAACGTACAATTAAAGGTTAACAAATTAAGCACTTTAACAAAATAATCTAATAATTTTTTTCAGAAAAAAATATATACCTGTATAAATTTTGTGATTAAGTCCATATCATATTTTAAATCTCCTTTCCCTAATTTGGCAGCCATTTGCTGAATTTCTTCGTATGTAACAATATTTTCCTGTGCTTTTTCTTTTGAATTTGAGTCTCCCTTTCCTTGCCCTTGAGATGTCAGTATTTCATCTAAATAAGCTTGATCTACTTTTTCCATAGCCTCTTGGAAATCATTTCTTAGTCCCTATAAATTAAAAGAAAAAGTATACCAATAAACCTTTATAATGGAAGATTAAAATATTTTCCATACTACAGAATTAATACCTTATTAATTTCAGGTTCCAATATTTCACATTTGCGAAGGCGTTTAAAAGTTTCTAATTCTGTTTCACCATATAAAAGTATAGGTTCTCCTCGTTCTCGTAACCTTTTGATAACTTCTTTTCTTGACAAGGTAACATGATCAACATTGTCTACAGAGCTTGCATCTGGTTCTACAAAAAAAAAAAAAAAATCTTGTATTTAATAGTTTTACCATATAATGCATCAAGTAATTAAAAACAAGAAATCAATAAAACTGAACCAATTCATTTTCTTAATTGTTTGTTTGCAACTGTGTTTTTGTAATTGTTCCAATTGAGTGCAAGTGACATACATACTTTAATACAATTACCAATTGCCTTTGTATTTCAGAACAGAAATATGTTCTCAAAAATTATATTTTTAAAGTTTTCATATGTCTAAACAAATATCTTTTTAGGTTATAAGAAAGAATTTCACACTGATGACTAACATGATTACCTTGAAATTAACTTTTTCTATAATTTATTTAATTTAACAACTTGAATTAATATCTCTGATTAAAAATTGCTAAAATTTTCTAAATAAGTTTAATATCGATTGCTGGCCATATTTAAACCTCTGAGCTATCATATAAAAAATGTGGCTCCTTTCAGCATTCCATGAACAGTGTTATCTGAGTGATCTCGATGCACCTTGACACTTCTACAGTTTTACCAAAAAGTTTCCATTCACACTGTGACAATAATAAATTATGACAAAAAAGGCAGGTATAGGATGATTCCAAGATTACAGACAGTCTATCATTCAAAGCTGTGTATTTTTTTTTTAACCACGAGGAAACAAAGTTGATATAGTCATGAAGGATTTGTTAAATAATAGTTCACCTTTTTGAAAAGAGTCAAAATGTGACATAAATTTAATTAAGAATAAGTTACTTGGGACAGCTATGATAGTGAAGTATTTAGGGTTCAACTTTAAATAATCTACACAGTAATAAACTGCATTCTTAATATATAAAGAGTAAGGTCTTTAGCAAATAATAATTTGCAAAAGTACTAAATGAAGCTTTCAGAGAATGTCATATTGTTAGGACAGAATAATGGCCTATAATCTTAGAATTAACCTTTAGGGTTACTATACACAGTCATCAATATGTAATTTAAACTTAGTTAGACTTGTAAACTAAAACCATGATAAAACTAATGTAAGCAGTATCGTTCGTGTTAAAGTAAAAGTAGGTTGTTGAAAAAAATAAAAAAATAACAGAAATAATTAGCAGATGTCTAAACAAAAACTGTAAAGGAATTAGAAAAAAGTAGCATAACAAATTATTCAAAACAATAGGTTTGAGAAGTTGATTTTACCTTCTTTAGGTTTTGGCAACTCTTCCTCTGGGGTCGAAGAACCATACTTTTCAAAATACTCTTCTCGTTGTATTTTAACAAGATCTGACCTCTTAAAATATTTTTTTGCTGGTTCCTAAACACAGGAGTTTCAACATAATGATATTATTACTTATGACAAAGCACATAAGTCAGTAATAATCAGTAATTAACTTACAATTAATTTCTTATCTTCCAAGAGCTTTTTTCGTTTTTCTATCTCTGCTTTAAGTATATCCATTTTTCCTGAAGAGTAGAATAATAACACAAAAAAACAAACTACGTAACCTCCTGAAATAGTAAATAAATAACCTCAGTAATCGATGTTTCAGAACTTCAAATGGTTTATAAACGACCCGTTCATTTTCATCAAATAAAACAAGTGCATTTGATGAAGGAATAATTTTTCAGGAGTTGATCGGTAACTATGATGTTCAATATTTTATGCATTGATTTGAAAAAAAAAAATGAAGTATTTTTGTCGTAATCGTCTTCTCCATTTCGCTGTTATTGTAGCTTTTCTAGTTATATATTTTTATTCTATTCTATTCTTTTATCATTCTATTCCTAAGTAATTTTTATAAAATATGAATTGAATAACTGTGTAAAAAAGCTTATTGAAATTGGAAATGTTTATATCATGTAAAATTGTTCTAAAAATTTAAGGATTGATACTTATTTCAAAAACGGACGTGTAAAGTCCAAATATTGTTGGTTCAGAAAAAGCAGATCGGTAAGAAAGAGACAAATCTAAAGTCGTAGATCAACTTGCACCAAAATACTGAGTGTAAATAGTAATCAGTGATCAAAAAGAAAATTCTCATTCGAGGAAGATTCCTTAAAATCTGAGGAAACTAAATATATGCTGACTCCTGGGTAGAAAAAAATGGCAAACTTTTGAGGGAGACAGAGCTCCATATTCTGATGGATCGGGAATTAATGCTAATATATCTAACGTAATGGGTTGGATAAGGAACTGAAGAGAAACTGCCGAACAAAGACATTGCCAAAGAAAACTGTTGTTAAGTCGAAGATTAAGAGGTTTGAATAGTATTCAAAGTTCTGAAAACTCGTAAATAAATAATTTATTTGTAGAAAAGGGGCACAATGTCTACATAATGTAATTATTAAGGTGCGTTTAGATATTTCACAAACTATGGAGCAAACAAATAAATAAATGGTTACTTCAGTGGTATTTTTGTTTCTTGTTGTTGATATTTACCATCTGTTGTCGGTATCCACTGCAACAGTTAATATGCTCTTAGAACAGTATACAGAATCGAATAAGCGAAAGCCAAGATCAATCAATATATGCTGTGATGGAGAATTCCCAACGAGTCTAAAATAAGTTTCTGCCACAGCCTGCATCTGCTCCCTTCTAGCACTGAGCCTCTGCAAGAAATTACTTGTAGTGAGAGGGATGGTTCCCCTACTTCCGAACCATAGTCCCTTAATTGAGAATTCATTCTCGCCGAATTCATCTTTAGATATCCTCTTTATCCACCTGTACCGTGAAGTCTTGATCCTGATCGTTCGTTTCAAATTTGATCGTGGGATCCGCTATTAGTGCCTTCTTTCCCGTCCCATTGAACGTTTGAATTTCGATGAATCTAGTTGAACTTTCCGTATCCATGCAAGAAACCTCGGGGAAACGTCTATATTTCTTCATTTCAAGAAATTCGGATATTCATGTTTTATATTACAGTGCTGGCGCGTGACGAACTTTTATATATATATTTATTTTATGGTTTGATCATGGGTCTTACACCACTGATGAAAGTGAAGTGACATTAGTACAATAGAACCAAGAATATTTTAAAGGTTTGTTAATTAAAATTCAGTTCAAGTAAACGAAGGCTGGATTATTTTATATAAATGCTTACCATGAAAGCTCTATGGTTGACATTTCACATAGCTAATTAGTTTGGTATATTTTTGATGACAGATTCCTCAGGAGAATCAATTTTATGCTAGGCAGGTACCGTTGAAGGATAAATATAGTGATTATTATATATATATATATATATATATATATATATATATATATATATATATATATATATATATATAATAGGTAGTATAGATCCCTTTTCCCTCAGGACTGATGGATTTTGAAAAATAAGGTATAAAGAGAAAGTGAATTTCATGATGAAATGACAAACCATTAAATCCGTACTACAACTATAATAAAAGGCGTTTGAAAAAATATGAGGTTTCGAAATCTTCAACGCTCAGTGGTAACAAGTAAAGGAAAACTCGCGACATCGGCTAAATCTATTTTTTCCAATCGAACTATTCAATAAAAACAGTGAAAAATGTATATTCTGCCAACTGAAAATATTCTTGGAAACTCCACAAGTTATCAATAAAACAGTTTATCTAGTTTTTGGAATTATAAAAAAAATAAGCAAATAGATTTAGTTGATGTCATGAGTTTTCCCTAGTACCACTGACACATCTATGGAGAGGGAGGGGAATTTCAGGCTGAAGCTCCTTCCCAAAATGGTAAACTGTAACCGTTTTTTTGGATAAAAATATCTTTTAATGTATTATTAAAAGATAATACTCCCCCTCACTTCCCCCTATGACAGAAATATAGGGAAGAGAGTTATCCAATAAAAAAAAGAAATATCAATCCAAGACATCTAAACACTTACTCTATTTATTCTTTATTTCATAATTATGAGCATACTCTTGTTTTCATGAGACTAAATAAAAATATACAATAGATAGTTAATGCATTGTACTTATATTTTTAAAAATACATAAAATTGGAAAACAATAGTGATGGTTGTTCACATTTGTTTAATAGATCCTTTGGGTGTTTATAAAAAATTTGGTAACATTGCACAAATAATGTCCACTTAGCCGAGTGGGCGAAGATCACGTGATCAGCTATAAATGGGATCCAGAAAATTGCCAAAGATTAACATGGTCACAGTATAACCTCTGTTTAATTGTGATTTACTTTGGCAAACTCCCAACTGCTCCTTTTCAGTTAAAATCGGTGTCTTAATTATCTTTAAATTAATCACTGCTTTCGAGTACCACTGGCTCAAAAGATATAAAAAAAACCTCCATATGGGCTCTCTTTGGTTGAGATTGGGATGTTACCTAACGGTCTGGCCACTCTCAGCCATTATCTCGATTCCATTTATTTTATGGTTTGATCATGGAACTTACACCACTGATGAAAGTGAAGTGACATTAGTACAATAGAACCAAGAATATTTTAAAGGTTTGTTAATTAAAATTCAGTTCGAGTAAACGAAGGCTGGATTATTTTATATATTTGCTTACAAAGAAAGCTCTATGGTCAACATTTCACATAGCTAATTAGTTTGGTATACTTTTGATGACAGACTCCTAACGAGAATCAATTATATGCTTGGTAGGTACCGTTGAAGGGAAAATATAGTGATTCTATATACCAATTTATAAGACTAATCAAGTAAATGAACTAAATAATAAAAGGCAATTGCGTTTTAATAATTGTTGAAAGTCACTGAGAAAGTTAATTGTATTCATTTAAATAATATTTGAGTTACATTTTATTTTGTTTTTTGTTACAAACTTTTTTTGTTTTTGTTTATTTAATGGAATTTACAACTATATACAAATACAACCAGTAAATATGCGCAAATATAAATAATGGCATGTACAGGCTTGAAGAGATACTACCCAGTAGTAGCACTCTCTAAATAATTTTAAGTAAGAAGATCATGAGGCCATCTTCTTTTCATACGCCTAGGAGGATTATCAGGGATCGAGGAGGAAGCAAGAGTGGAAACAAGCGGATTTGGATGGGACTGAAGTTTATCATGAAAGGATAGATATCTGGCTCGAGCTAAATCAGTGACATATGGTACATTAAGGTCTTGATGAATGGTTTTATTTGTGACAAAGTATGGAGCATTAAGGATTTTGGATTGTAAGGATTGGATATGATAGGAATTCGATGGTTTCGTGGAGCCCCAAAGCTCAAGTTACAAACTTAAAATTTGTTTTGAAATTAATTTTCTTTTTTTTTATTTGCTGGCAAACTTTTATTTGAATTTTATAGATATTTAATATTCTGTCGGGATATTTGCTGTATATTTACTTGATCACATTTCATTGAATGTTTGCCTATGCACTTTGTATAAAAATAAATAAATAATTGTAAGTAAATTAAAGTATATTGTAGTGAGATCCAAAAGATGGGGCAAAACCCCAAAAAACATTAAAATTGTGATAAAATTATTTTAAATGAAAAAGGTGTGAAGAAGAGAATTAATTTTCACATACTGTTCGATACATATAATAAATACTTCTTTCCAATTTTTAACAATTTATTAAAATAAAATTACTACTACTTAATATATCAATTATTGACCTTTCAAGTAAAACTACCAGATAAATAGTTTGTTTTTTAGTAACAAAAGTAATTCCGGGGCTTTTATCAACTGTACTACAAGAAATAACTAAATCTGTATTAATAAACAAATATATTTATCATTAAAGCAGTAAATTTATAGTACAAGTAAAAAACAAATGTTAAACTCGTATATTTAACTCAATTTTGATACGAGAGTTCTTCTATGCTCTTTTTCCATCATTTTCTTTCTTTGCTCTTCCTTTCTTTTTTCTCTTAAAATTTCATCAGCATCCCAATCTTCAGCTTCAGCCCATTGGCTCTGGCGATTCTCAGCCTCTTCCCAAGACTTCAGCTCAGAGTCGCACTGGAACAATTATAATAGAAATATACCTTAAGTTAGCCATGGATACATTGTTTATTTTAAAAATTAATGGAGAAAAATAAATAAAAAACTTTTTGGATAGTTTAAATTATAATCTATAAGTTTATAAACTAACTTTGAATTCTTATTTACCAATATAAATATTTGCTACCATCAGGTTACTTCCTGAATATGCATTTATTTAACAATAGTGAACATTATTACAGTTTCACACATATCAGGAGGACGATTTGTGCCAGAATTAAAAAACCCCACAGGCACTGGTATGCGAACTCGTAGATTACTTTATTATCTATAATTCGGTTATCAGGTTTCTGGGCAACGTGCGGTGCAGTGCACACTCATTAGCCAACTCGGATACCCCACCCCTATATCATAGCGCTTGACTTCTTTTCACTTAAGGGATCCAAGTAATAACAATAGCTAAATTTAGTGATTCCTAAGTAGAATTAAAAAATTTTGTCACTTCCCAATAAATGAACAAAATCATTAGGAACTCTTGAACCTGTGTTTTATGGAGACCGCATAGTGGAGTGATGAGCAATAGAAGGATAACCATAAATCATAGAATGCGATAAGAAAAGAGTTTAGCAATGCATAATGAAATCCATTTATTTTTGTCTCTCTACTATTCCCACTGCTCGACAGAGGCAATTGTTACTGCACTATGTGTTTGGGGTATAAGTTAAAATCATAGCTTCGACAATCACTTTACTAACGAACGGTACAAACATTATCGGTTGTACAATTTAAGTTAAAAGAATAAAACAAAAGAAAATAATATTGGAGAAAAATAAATTTTTCAGATGCATACAAATTTTAGAAAAAGTTTTTATAAAAATCAAGTAATTTTTATTTTATTTTTTATAAGTTTATTTTATTTATCTAAATAGATAATGACTTATACTAAAATAGTTGCAATGATCAAAAATAGATAACAAAAACAAAAGTTTAATACTAAAAGTTATTTTCAATAGCCAGTTATGGATCCTTTTAATGCAAACTTTTGGGAACTACTAAGCTAACCTAATCTAACTAGAGGAAGATAGAAGTCGGGGAAACAATAAGGGAGAAATTAAGAGTTAAGTGCTATTCAAGATGGGGTTAATGTTAAAATTCTTACCTGTTCTTATATTTCCTCAACTACATATATAGTTTTTCTTACTTTACAGTTCAGGAATAAATACTTAAACCTTAGGTTTGTAATAGAATCATGCCAGAATTATAAATGATAAAAACTTACATTTGTAACAATGTTTTCAGCATTAAAAGCAAGTCGAGATGATGATATATCTCTTGGTTTTAAAACAACTTTTGTTTGTCTTTTGATTTCAGGTTCCATGTCCTACTAACAAAAAATAATCTTTAAATATGTAAATTATTGACAAATTAAAATACTATTAAGAATATGAAATATATGAAGTACATAAATACAATGCAAATTTCAAACAAACAAATCTTATATATCAGCTATAATGTAACTAATTTGCATGGTCTTGATTTAACTCTTACATATTTTAAAACGAATAATGGTTAAATAGAGACATTGAAAATATTCTATAAATCATTTCTTTAAAAATTATAATTTTATTAATAGTCCAATTTCAGTAACCTGAATACGAAATAGTTTGGGTTTCAGAGAGTTCTAAAAAATTATTCACAATAAAAGATTAAACTTAACTAAATACATACATGTATATGCATTATGAACTAAATACCCTACCAGTATACTAACTCACTAGAAAATATTGAATTTGTAAAAAAAAAAAAACGTATTTATTTTTAAGAATTCAGTCAATTTTATTGGTTTAGACTTTTGGATGTTCTTTATCATGGCTTCTAGTTCTAAATGTTGTCAGAGAAGGATTAGAAGGACTATTGTAACCCCGTTCCATCCCATGACATTTTATTTATTATAAATAAATTTATTTCGACTCATTTTCATTCGTTTATCTTGAAATATAAACAAAAACAACCTTTGTTTCATCATTATTAAGAGCTATAGACAAATCCTCTAGATTCATCTTCAGATTAAAAAAATAAAAAATAAATAATAATAATGCTTTATTTATTCTGGGACGAGTCCCTTTAGAATAATACAGAAAGACAATAATGTGGGCTAAGGAGCCTTAGAGATACATAAAGAAAAATATAGAGTAATTAAATAATCAAAATAAAAAAAATAATAGAAGAAATTATAAGTTACTTACTAATTTAGATCAGTTAATAATAAAAAATAAAAAATTGAAAATAAACATGAAATAAAAATAATGAAGAACGATCTAATAATTTATATACATATTAACAGTACTAACTATTTAAATTTTATGGGGACTAGATGGATAAGAAATTATTGAACAGGCGGGATTTAAAGGTAGGAAGGGTTTTGGATTGACGGATGTGGGGAGGGATGGAGTTCCATAGGGATGAGGATCGGATAATGAACGACTTGTCAAAAGCAGCGGTTCGGTGGGCCCTTATGTATAAATCAGAAGACCAGGAACGAGTATTGCGGGAACGAACGGAGGATTTGAATTGAAGGAGCTCAGAGAAGTATGAAGGACGGTGCGATTGGATGACCTGAAAGAGGAAGGATGCCAGGGAATACTTACGACGGTAGGAAGGATAAAGCCACTTCAACTCTGCATAAAAACAGGAAACAGAGGCGTCCCTTGGGATCCCGAAGATGAATCGTACAAAGCAATTTATCAAACGTTTTAATTTTGCCTCAAGATCCCCAGAGACGGCCCAATATACTGTACAGCAATAGCCAAAGTGAGAAAAAATTAATTTAAGGAATTTAGTTAGTGAAATATGATTTGTAATGCTTAAATAAAATTTATTAATAAACACGGTTACTCTAAATAAAAAATCACGGGATGGAGCATTTTAAAAAAACTCAGTTGAAATGAAACACTGTATCTTCATGTCTTCGTTAGTATTATAAAAGGAAAATAATCATCGGAAGCATCAACTAAGAAAATTACTGAAAATCCGGCAGACGTATTTTGTTAGGAAATCATTAGTTGCTCTCTTGTGTGTGCTCCTTTCTTTCCTTGACAAAACTTCCATCATCCATCATTCCTTTTCTATTTTTTTTGTAGTTTGGGTTACTGAGATTGCATTGTAATACCCAAATCACAACAATAAGTAAAACATTGATACAATTGATTTAATAAGATGATTATCAAAGTAATAAACTAACACTATAATAATTCTAAAATAACTCATGGGATTGTAAAGTTTCCTCCTGACTAACCTGAAAGAAGTCAGGTTGAGGGAGGGGCTGATCGGCCTGCTGCTTTGATTTGTTGTTCCTGTACAGCTGTATGTGCTCTTCCACGGTCTGCGGAGGGCCATCGCCATCCTCTCCCCACCTGTTCCAGTTCCCAAGTTCCTAAATTGGAAATAATTTTTGTTTATAAAGTTTTCACACAATATGTATTTTTGTGACTTAATTTCTGTTATAAATACAGGATGATATTCATTAAAAATAATAAATAAAATAAATTTAAAAAAATGTAATATTTACAAAAGAAATAATAATAAATTTAATGACATTTAACAGAATAGAACCAGTCTACAACTACTTTCGGTAATCTGGATTAATCAAATAAGAATATGTTTTATAAAATTAGAATATATATGTTTTATCATAATTCTAATTTTATTAACGTCAAAATGTTGCTATTATATATTAATCAAAAATTGAATTTATCGTTGTTTTTTTTTCAACTACTACGCAATGACCTATTCAAGATTACCAAAGATTTTTCCTATCTGTAAATACTGCTTGAAATATTTTCAGTGAAATCAGGGGTGCCCAGAAGAGGATTTTATGGCGCAAGTTGCACCATCAAACTTTTTGAGGGGGGCACATTTTGACGGGGTTTTGAATTTTTGAGGAGGGTACATATTTCGACTGGGTTATAATTTTTTGAAATGAAAAGTTTCAATTCAGCGGACAAGGGAAAAGCATAGAACAAACCAATGAAAGTGTAATTGTATATGACCTATTATTTTTAAAATTCTTCTTTAGCTTGCACTAATTTTAAAAAGAGGATAGCAAAAAAATGTCTTGGGAGGAAAGGGGTGGTTGACCTTAGGAGGGGGGGGTTTGGGCACCCCTGAGTGGAATGCACTCACAAGGGTCACCAATTTCAACCAAATTTTTTTTTTCAGTGATAATAATCAAAATCCGTATTTAAGAGTTTCCTGAGGTGCAATAAACGAATTACTCCCACACTGATACGTCAGCTGGTCCAAATAGTGCCCATATTGTAGCTATCTGCCAAATATAATATTTATTTAAAACCAGTCTGGTATAATTTATAATGGAATAAAAAAACAGTTTCTCATAATTTTTTTGTTGCTCTTAATTAGCTTCTACAACTTTAATATACTAGACTAGTTGCCCAGTGCGAATAATTTGCTAAGGATACTGGTCAGTGAACAATAATAAGGAAATTAAATAATTCAACCTATCATAAGATGAAGGAATAATATTCTATTTTTTCGTTAATTGTAATTGACCGAAGAAAAGAAAAGTATTATAAAACTTCATTCATGCTTTAAACAAAAATGTTTACAGATTACAATAACCTGTATCTCAGCTAATAATGGTCGGAATTCGTTGATTTTTTTTGCATTGTAGAAAATTTAGTAATATTTCAAATAATGATGGGTACAATCATTAAAAAATAATAGAATACAAAACGAGCTATACTTTTTGAGTTATTTGAAAATAAAGTTTCTTTTCCTTCATTTTTTTTAAATTTAGGAGGGAAGTGACTATTTTTCCCACCTGAATGAGAAGATCCTCAAAATGGGGGCTCAATCATTAAATATGATGAAGAATTGACAATGATATGACATATCGATAAAAAAATATCTTTGAAAAATAATATATAAAGAAAGTAACTTTTTTAATATCTCTAGCTTTCCAATAATATATAGTATACATACATATTATATTATTACATATTATTACGTTTATTGCTTTCAATTTGGGGAAACATTTTCTCCTTTTGTTAATTATCAAATTCTTTCATATTTTATATTTAACCATTTGTTATTGCTACAAGTCATGAGAGACTGTTAATTATTTCAAATAATTACTTAAACTGAAAGCCTTCCAATTAATTAAATCACATTAATGAGCAAAGATTTTAAAATTATAGATAATAAAATTAATATTATCGAGGAAAACGCTTTATTTCATCCTTATACATTTATTCTATGCCTTATTTCATTTAAATTTCCAGACGACGTTTCGGGCAATTTTGCCCATTTTCAAGTCAAATATTTATATATCATTATTATATAATCCATATAATCGTAATTTTTAATATAATTATTACATTTATCTCCTCAAAATCCTTCAAATTATAAAATTCATAAATTATTCATGAAAAGTCAAATTTAAAACAACTGTGAACAGTCAAAAAATTAAAAATGATTTTAAATTTACTCAAATGCTTCACATTTTCGTCATCTTTAAATACAACAGCCTCTCAAATTATATAAAATATTAGAGGCAGTAATGTAACAAAATTAATTAGTATAAACTTGAGATTTATATGTATTATTTAAAATATAATATAGTGTAAAAAAAAAATGTATTAATAATTTTATTAAAAGGAACCTGTAGGTTTTTAAAATATTGAATCATAGATACGGTAATATATTTTATAGAGGTATAGATTTATCATTCAGGTTTTTGGTTTGTTTGTAATTTAAATTAAAAATTAATCTATTAATTTATTAAAGTAAGTCATTTATTTGCTATTAAAAAAGTAAATCAATAATTGTTCTGAATTACTTAAAAACCACTTCTATCAGTCAGTTAAAGAATAAAAATGTAGTTAATACCTGATTATTTCCTGCCTCTGGTTGATAGTTGGGCACTACACCTACAGCGGTCAATGGTTCAGAATCAACTGATAGTTTTCTCCTCCTTCGAAAGCAGCATAAAGAACGCTTGAGGAGATTCAAAAGAAAAATGAAAACAGCTTTTAACCGACCGATGATCATGGTTAAGATCATGTCACTGAAAAAAAATACACACATGATAGATTTGATTAAAACATATATATAATAAAATACAATTTTATAAAATATTAAAATAATTGAATGATACGAAGAGCTCTGAAAGAATAAGATCTTCAAGTCGGAAGAAATCCGTATATAAATATATATATCATCAACATACATATATGTATGAATGTATGTATCTGCATATACACATATATCAATAGGAGGTATGAACTTCGCGTACCTAGGAATAGTTACAGATAGGAAAGGAGGCGGGTCATGTGTGCAAAATACGCAATGCACAGCCAGCCACCTGATACACCGAATATTACAAGTTCAAATCTAAGTACTTGGGAGACTTTTAATTCTGGTATTAATATCCCACCCTCTCCACTGAAGCAGGAAAAAAACCCATATAGCCGAAAAAGTGAGGAAGAGGAGAAAAAAGAAAAAAAAGATAGGAATGGGAAAGTAGATTGACCCTTTCGACAGAATGCCATTGAAAAATTTGGTAGGAGACACATTTTTAGGATGTTTTGAAATTTTGAGGGGGTACATTTTGAAGGAGTAATGAATTTATGTTATAAAAGTTTATGGAACAAGGAGGAAAACATGGAACATACCACAGAAAATGTAATTGCATATAATTTTTTAGTTTAGCTTGTACTGTTATTAAGAAAAGAGGAGCAATTAAATATCTTAGGAGAGGAGAAGGGTTCATACACCATCAACCTTCAGGAGGGATGGTTGGGCATCTACGTGGTTCCACCCTGACATTTTAACTATAAAAGGAATATAATGAAAAGCAGAGTCACACTGATAATAAAACAATAGAAACATTGCAGGATATACAACATATTTTGAAAAATAGTATGTTTCCTGAACATAGGAAGCACTGTTATAGTTTAGTATATATATATTTATACTAGCTGTACCGGACCACGCGTTGCTTTGGCTCATTCCGTTGAATTGAAAAAGAAAGCAGTTGTTTCTAATATATTTTATTTCACAATACTTGTGGATATGCGATATTTTTTGTTGTTTCATTCTTTGTATAGATATAGATTGTCTGGTTTTTCAGCTCTAGAATACGCAATATATAATTGTCTGTGTGAGAAGCAACCTGTGTCTAAATCTCCAAAGAAAAAATACTAAATGTTTAAAACATTATATCTCAGCACCAAATCATCCGATTTTAGTGATTGTTTTTTTTATATATGTAGGAAGTTTTCAAATAATTATGATTATAATAAAACAAAAACTGTGTACTTTTTGAGTTATTCACAAATATAGTTTTGAACCCATCTTAATTTTTTTTTCACACTCTTTTCGGGGAAGGATGTTATATACATAAATTAAAAGGTCTTCAAGGAGAAGACTTCATCAAAGTTTAATTAAAATCATTACAGCCGTTTAAGCGCTCTAGTCTATAGCGGCACAAGCTTTTCGGCCGCCTTTCCAAAATGAAAGGCCGGAGCGTAATTAAATGTATATAAAAGCACTCCTGAATCCGATAGAAACGTTATATCAATATTTAAAAGCAATTGGTGAAGAATTTTAGGAGATTAGCGGTTTTGAACAAATGGACATTTCCATTTTTATTTATATAGATAATCATGTGGGAGGGAACTGAGACTAGTACCAAGGCTTGGTCCAGGGATTTGGGAGTCTTAAGGTTCACACTATATACAACCAATTAAGTGGAACCTGCTTGGTTCTCTAAGTATCAAGGAGTGTAGAGGACGTGATGGGTAAGCATAGAGAGGGCTTCAGAGTGTCCTCAGTTCGGCCGCTGTGTTTTGATTTTGAAACCCATCAGGATCAATCAATATTGATTTCTGAGAAATGAAATGTGATGGCAGAGCACGTTTAAGTGTTGCCTGGGTAGCAACAAATTTGTTTCAAGGTAGATCAACAGAATGAATCTCTGTTTTTCCACGCTGATTAGAATAGGTTTGGTTGCACCTCTAGAATAACTCCGCCCTCTCCCAACATGCCAGAAATAGTGAAGTTGAGATTAAACTAAATAAAAGAATTTTAATAATACCATTCAGGTTAGCCGACAGGGATTGGCATAATAAATTGAGCTTGATGTTGGGCAGTAAAGAAATTTATTTCTCTCAGAAAACAGTGAACTCATGACAAACCACAACCTTCTAAGAGTATAAATTTCATTTCGGAATAAGACGCATAAAAGTATGCAATACTCCACATACCTAATAATTATTCCACTTGCAGTTATGAAAACATAAAGTTGTTTTCCTCTCTGATGTAGAGACACATAGCCTCCTCTGAATACATAAGATTCTTTTATAATAAAAGATGCGGTATATTGATTTTGTATCAGTACTTAACATAGTATAAGCAATATGAATATCCAGTTGACCATTTTGGAGTATAAATTTTCCTCATCAATAAAATCAACATGGAGAAATTTTACTGTGACAACAGTACTGTTCATTAAACTGTCTAAACTGTATCATAAATTATATACAGCAATATTTTCATATTGGAAACCTTTCCAATAAATGCCTTCTTCGTGGGCTTACTGTGAAAAATATAAAAACATGAGCATACACTACAAGAGTCGCAAATACATAAACATCTGGGCCAATATCACATTGTAAAGGGTAACTACAAGGTGCTTATTAGGACCTTAAGTACTAGGTAATATTTAATAACACAATGAATAAAGAAGTTAAATAATTTTATCTTTTATCTGTGAGGTTACTTAAGTAAACCCATAACTAATCACATTTTTTTTCAAATCTTAAGTAATAGAGTTATAATAATAGATATAATCTTACATTTCATCTTAAAGATAGTTGAATTGACTGCATAACTTTCATTATAATAATGAAAATCAATTAGAACAACACTTGTTTATGGTATGATAATAAGTGTCACTAATATGAATTGAGGAATATATGTCTAAAAATGAGTCAAATAATCCATGCTATACAGAAGTTGGATCAATTAAAATCCATTAATCACTAACTACAAAAATAGGTTAAGGAAAGTTTCTGAAGAAACTAATAACCAAAACTGTACTACACTGCAGAAACCGTAATAACAGCTGATAGGAACTGATACGGTTTTCAAACCTGTTACTACCTTTCCAAAGTTGTGGTACAAATTTATTGCAAATCAAATTTGTAGAATTTTATTTAAGTAGAACAATTTGAACCATTATGTATTTACCAATTTTAAATTAATTTTTTCTCAAACAAAATAGTGTTAAGATAGTGATAGTAATAGCCAATCTTTATAGGACAAAAGGTGTTGGTAGACTTGTTATTAGAAACTTGGCTTTGGTATATGGTAATTAACTATGTTAATTGTTTGATATTGATATAATTAGTAATTTAGAGTTTGTTAGTTGTCATATAGTAACAAAATGACCTCGGTTCGAGCATATGAAAGTTTATACACCTACCCCTTTATTCTATAAGGTATGTGATTTTTAACCAATTCATCTTTTAAAGCTGCACATCCACTTATAATAAGCAGCATCTTATTTTCGTACACTGCATCGATGACACTAGAGCTGAAACTGTATTTGAGTGTTTTGGAGGTTGCTCAAGCATTCAACTGAGTTTGGCACTAGATACTTTTATTTGATGCCTGATCTTGTACTTCCTTCATCGTACTGGCTCAATGTTCGTCTTTTCCGCAATGGATTATTTTTAAAATATTATTCCGAGCATTAAAGTACGTCTCAGCATATCTTTAAGTATCAATGAAATTCAAGCCTATTTAATAACTGAGATGTCTATTCTTTATATTTTATGAACATCCTTAATGAAAACGTGATCATAATGTGCATCCATGTTGGTCTTAGTAGTAGGCGCCTCCGTGTAATTACATTCATGGGCACTCCACCACTCTGAATAAAAAAAAATTAGACATACGTGAGGTATGATTTTAGGAGCTCAAATTAAAGATTATGAAAATGATTCAAATGTTTCAAATACCTCTCGATTAATAATTGAACGAACGTAATAACAAAATGTTAAATTTATGGCATTAAAGTTAATTTTTTTTCTCGAGAGAGGTAGAATTGGACGTTATTTTATCCCGATTCATTAGCGGTAGACAAAGGTACGGACTTTTTAACTTGATAAGCTCCTGTAGGTGGCAAGATGGCAAATGTCTCGAGTGTCGGTCCAAGGTATGGATTTAGACTCCGGAATTTTTTGTTGATATTTTGAAGTATGATGGATACATTCCATATTTTTGGATAATATTTCTATTTTATAATGCTTTATAATATACTAGTCAGGAGGAGATCAAAACAACTCTGGGCCCAAAACAATTAAAAGTTTTGGAGCCCCACAAAAAAAAAAAAAAAAAATATCAAGAAAAATCTCATAGTTATAAAAAAAAAGAAGAAAAGTTCTAAATTAAACCATTATCATAGAAACATTACGCTGATTTATTAAAAAAGACAACGTTAACATATTTATTTTGTACAATTATCGTCTTATTTTGTTTTTATTAGAAATAAATTAATAATTTTTAGTATTAATTTTGCTTAAAATGTTTTACCATATTTTCAGAATAGCCATAGTATTATATCTTTCTGCTCCCACAGCGGATCCAGGTTTTAATGTTAGGTGTTTATTATTTAAAACGATGTTTAGGTGGTTTTTTAAGGCATGTTAAAAAAACAAAATCCTTACATTTAGTAGATATGTAATTATGCGTTATAATTTAAAAGGAGTATAAATATAGGATTTAATTTTGGGGGGGCATCAGCCTGAAAGATTTTTTGTTCGTATACATATACGTTAATTAATTTGAAAAAAAAAGAAGAAATTAATTACCTATATGAAATGGTGTTTTAAGTGGTTCTTGAAGTCCTATTAAATATAGTTACACGAACAAGAATACTTTAAGAGATAGTTTTTAATATTTTTTTCTGTAAAACATGGTTATATTTTACCATTTTGGGTGGGCTTCAGCCCGAAAGCCCCCTCCCCCCCGTAGATCCGCCTGTGCTGTTACATAACAACCCACTGACTGCTACATTTTTAAACTATTACATTCTGTTTCTCAGCTGTGCACTCAGTTTACTCTTTCCCTTCACTTCTTTTGAAGTACACATATTTGTTTTAAGGAAGATCTCTCTCTGTTAGGACGAAGAGACCTATCTCCCTCAACAGCTTCGCCCTTGTTGTGATCGTTCAAGTATTTAGCTCAAATTACTCACTGAAATGTTCCAATGAAAAAAAGAAAATTATTTCAATGAAAAAAAAATATCAAGAAAAATCTCATAGTTATAAAAAAAAAAAGTTCTAAATAATTATTCTAAAGAAAATTATTTTTCTATTTTGTGGAGCTTCAGTTGTGAAGCTTCCCTCGTGGACCCGGCAGTAATCTCTTATAGCGCTCCTCAAGTAATTTTGTACTTGCTTTATAATATAAAATTGTCTTTCTTCTGATGCATTAGTTTGGGGAAGAGTTTAAAAAAAATGTCTATAATGTTTCAACATTTAGAGATATGCAAGGTATTTCTTTAGGTGTTTGATAGATACCTGATGTGAAATTTATATCTTTTAAATGTCCTCTCTTACTTCTAAAAGAAATTTAAAATTGGTCAAATTTGCCGTCAAAAGTATTAGCATCTATATCATTTTTGTATATATATCCTTTAATTTGTTCGTCACGTTCATTTTTCCTCCTATATATATGAATTAAAATTTTAGAAAATTTTCGAAAGGGCTTAACTGCAACTTCATACGCATGAGCTTGATTCTATTCGATATACGTATTTCTGTTTTCGTGTTACGTTTAACATAAAATGTTATAATTATAATTACAATTTTTTTCTTAAAAAAAAAAAACAAATTAGGAAAGAGATGGTCAGGGATGGCGGTCATAAAAAAAATTAAAATAATGTAAGAAGTATTTTATTTTCCTAAGCCAATGTTTCCACACAGCTAAGCAGGACTTCATCGCCTTCATGGCAGGCTGTGCAGTTTCGCACGGAGCTCCATCCTTATCACACCTCTGATGAAGTCCTCTATGGTTGGGTCGAAACGTTGGCTTAAATGAAATAGTTTTTCACTATTTTAAGTTTTTTTTATGACTGCCACAGCGGATCGTGTCTTCCCTTAATATTACACTAGGTCAACCATTGAGTATTTAAAAAAAAATCCATTTCGTTGTCTGCGGGTTTTTCTAACTTGGAGGTTAACGTAAGAATTTTAGGGCGATAAATTACTCGACTATTATGTCCATTTTTTTATCTTAAATTGTATTAATTTTATCTTTATATTAAATGATAGTCCTGAAAAATAAGTTATCTCTTATTTAATTCTTTTTAGTAATTCTATATTTTATATTAATCAATTCTTAATATTACCACAAGCCTGTATGCAGATAAATGTTCAACAATTGATATTTATTGGATGTTGATATTCAGTATAATTATAAATTAGTGTACGCGATAAAATTAATTTATTTTCATACGAACTCACTGTTTTGAACTTTGAAATCTGCCTGTCTATGCAAGTTCGATCGCTGTACTTCGACCTCGGTGTAGTACCAGCTCCGTACAGATACAGTTCGCAACAATTCTTAGAATTATTTCTTACAAAAGAAGTTTATTGCATCTCCTAATGAATTACGATTTTGAACTATTAGAGAAAGAATGAAGATGTTTCGTTGATATTTACAACAGAGATATTGAAATGATTTTAAAATAAATAATACTGCCTAATAAATCAATCGATTATTATTTTTAGCAGAACTTATAGTTTTATCGTTATTAATGGACCATTTGCTAAGCCAGAACATTTCCAGGCCCTTCCGTCAATTGATTTGACCTTAAATAAATTACGAACATCCAGTAAAATCCAACTGGGAAAAATCCTAGGAATTTCATTAGAGGTTTCTTTTATCGCTTTATCTCTATGTTTCTTGAAACAGAATGATCCTATTAAAATAGTTGGTTAGTTTTATATATTATATATTAGATTAGTTCTGGTTGTATTGTGCAATATCTTGGGGTATATTTGAAAGAGCCACCGCACTCTTTCAAATATACCCCAAAATATGACTAATATCATAGGCATTCGATTTTGATTGGAGGATGGAACAAAAAAAAAATGGCAGGAGTTTTTATTATACGTAAAAATTCAACATAATTATTGTGAAACGAACAAATATAATATTGAATATTTAAAATCAATTTGTTTTATGTTTTTATAGTTGTAAGGATTTTTATTTTTTGTTTTACTTATTATACATGCTTGAAAATATTTCTTCTTCTTCTTCTTAATCCAGTCCTCTGTTACCGCTGAGCAGTGTGAGGTTCCTTCTTATAGAGCCTGATCCACGAATCTCTATCTTGTGCCAGCTGTCTTCTCCTACTCCAGTCCATTCCTATCCTGTCAAAGGCTTCTTTAACTCCTTCTTCCCATCTTTTTCTTGGTCTTCCCTGTGGCCTCCTTCCCTCCACTTTGACCTCGTAGGTAGCCCTGGCAATTCTGTTTTCAGCCATTCGCGAGATATGTCCAAACCATCTAAGTTGGTTTTTTGGATTATCTCCTCTGCAGGCCTCAGGTCCAGATTACCTCGTATGGCCACTTTCCTAACGCGATCTCTTCTTGTTTTCCCCTCTATTTTCCTTAGATAGCGCATTTCCATAGCTTGGATTTGGCTTTTGTGCTTGGCAGTGAAGGTCCAAGACTCGCTTGCATACGTCAATATAGGGAGGAAAGTATTCTTAAAGACAATTTTCTTAGTGATCTTTGAGATTTCCTTTTTGTCCAAGAAGCCTGACTTGAGGGAGTAAAAGCATCTTCCTGCCGTCTTAACTCTCTCTTAATTCTCTCTTTCTGAAAATATTTAGAAAAAAAAAAATTAAAATTGAACATGTAACGTATTTGATTAGATTAAACATAGGCCTGAAAATTTTCAGCTAAAAATGAATAATGTAAACAAGTGAAACATATCTTTGATTTTTTAGTGTGTACAGCCTCAAATAAAAATATAACGTTTTTCACAGTCCGACAAGTTTGCCGCGGAAAATGTGATATGAATTTCACGTGAAAATGGAGCGGTAATTGAATCATAAATTCTAGAATATGTTGATGTGTATATTATTATCTTTGAATGTAAATGACAATTTAAATAAAAGTAACATTAAGGCATCAATAAAATAGTTACTTACCTACTACTCGGCCCTAGTCTAGTCAGTAGACTTTTCTTAATCGATTTTAGTTTAAATATTACATTTTATTCTTTTTTGTAGTTTATTTATTATTGATTTTTTTTTACACTTAATCATGTGAGGAGGGACTGAAACGATATTCTCGCCCCCTCAACAATCTGCGTCTATGACCAATAAATAACCAAATCATTTATCACCTTACAGGTTCAGGCATTCACTTCTGTAGTATTTAGAAAGCTTCTGTTGAACTTTAGTTCCAATCCTTACAAAATGAATTAATTTTTTATCAAATATATGAAAAGAAACTTATTATCTTGAACATCAAGACCACATAAAAAATAATTGATAAATGAATAACATTGTATTACAGAATAATAACAGTCTATGACCAGTGGAAACACCATACACAGACCATTTTGCGGGCTTTGGTTATTTGGACCTTATATCATTCATTTCTTTTGAAAACTCTAGTTGGAATATTTTTCACGATCGTAATACTTTACCGTATCTTATATGGATTTCATATATATATATATATAGATAGATAGATAGAAAGTAAACTTTATTCTGGGACTTATATAGATATATATATATATATAAGTCCCAGAATAAAGTTTACTTTTATATATATATATATATATATATATATATATATATATATATATATATATATATATATATATATATAGAGAGAGAGAGAGAGAGAGAGAGAGGAGAGGGAGAGTCTTTTTGAGCGATGGAAAAGTTTTGTATTCTGTAAACAAATATTAATAATAGCAACGACATTTCTTAGACTATTTTATAATTATCTTGTTAGATGTATACAAAATTGTACGGGTCAAATAGCAAGTAGTATGGCACGAAACCATATCCACAGTATACTGATAAATATTTTTAAAAAATCGAAAAATGAAACCTCGAAAAGTTTTCATTTTATTTTATTTTACTGATAACCTAAATAAAAATTACATTGTCGTATGAGAGGTAAAAAGGCACTTTAATGTAACTATGTCTAATTTTAGATATTTTTTTTTTTCTCTTGTCGGCCCAAGACTTCCATTGAAGTCATATAATGCCCATTTTAGAATTGAATGATACTTTATGCACTCGAGGATTGCATTTATTTAGTAGTAATTTAACATTTATTGCCTAGGAAATAAATAGGAACCTGTAATTATAATCTGAGAGTTTGCTGCAATTATATATATATATATTTTTTTTTTTTAAATTGAAACATATACGGTTCTTTCATTTTCCCACAATTTATGTCTAGTTACTATTTGTAGATTTAAAAAAATAATAATAAAAATAAATGAAGACGTTTATTTTACTTTTTTTTTCATAAAAATATATTTTTTTTTTGAAAATTATCTTCCAGAAGGATTGATAAAAGCAGTGCTAAAAGGATCATGAATTGAACGATTTGCCTTAAGTTCCGACTTATGACGTCACATCTCGTCGGTAAGGGTGGGAGAGGGATCAATGAAGTGACGTCAGATTATCAGTCTGTAGAAATGCCCCCCAACCATAGGAGGAAGATGATACCCCGCTCTTCGGGAAGGCTGACATAGCCGTCCAAGCTTCTGTGAGTATATCTCCATCTACTGCTTCGTATGTATTCCATCCAAAGTATCCTTCCAACCCTTGCACTGCTTGCTGCATTAGAACTCGCGACCAACGGCTGCTAATGGCGCCCGAACAATCTGAACCTGAAACATTAAAAAAAAAAGTATTTACCTATCATATGTGCAATTGTAGTTATTAAATGTGCGTTCTCCATAACTTTTTCATCCTTTAAAAATAAGTTCTATTCATAACTTTTCCAAAATGTTATTACATTATTATAAGCCGTAGAATCTGTATCTAGAATTTTTTATTACTAATTTTTTATTACTCATTTAAAAAAAAAAATTGACCCGGTTAAACAAATAATGTAAAAATTATTAAAAACATAATGGTTTTAATAGAACATTTCTCTATGAATATCCGTTTTCATTTCATTAGTTACTATTCGTTATTGCATTTAAAAATCCTTATAAAGTCTTTGAACATATTTTACATAAAAAACATCCTTGTCGATAACAAAAAACTAAATTCGAATATTCTAGCTAATATACAAGTCTCGTACGCTATTGTATTTTATACTAATTATTATATAAATATTTATTTTAAACGATTCTAAATTTGTTTTTTATTTTACTTGACACTTGAATGCTTTTTTTTTATACGTGTTATCAATTTTTTAGTTCTTAGAATTATTAAACACTTAAATGTTTTCAGTATGTTAGAATACTACTAATTTTTCCTCTGTATGTGGTCACCAAACATTTTAATTAATTGATTATTAATGATTTCAGTTAATATAGTTTTGTTTTAGCTTTTTATTATACTGAAAATATATAAGTTCTCCATGTATATTTAATTATTTTATGTAATATCTCATCGGTTTATTACAAAAAGTCATTAAGTGAGATTTCATAACCCTAAATCATTAAAAACTTTTATGAATTTTCCCTTTGTGAAATAAGATAATTGAGTGTTTTTTTGTAACTATATTTGATGTATGGAAGGGTTTGAATAATTTTTGTGCAATTATTGTGCTTTTTTTTTTTGTAAGGATAAATAATGTCGAAATTCACAAAAATGTTCATAAAGATTCAGCTCCATCAAAAATTTACTTAGTGACTTTTTGTGATAAATTGACTATATCGGATGATAATGTGGTTTATAGTAATTATTTTATTTTTAGATTATAGTGTATTTGTAACGAATATTTTAATCCCTGCTCTTTTTAAAATAACCGTTTAAGCCATTTTTATTGTTTAATGCGGAGGTATATTCCTACTACACTATTTTCATGAGCCAACCTATTTTTCACGCTATAGCGTATCCAGGATTTAATTTTGGGAGGCTTCAACTCGAAAGATTTTTTTTTTATATAACCAAACAAAGAAAGTAACTTCCTTTATGAAATGGCATTTAATTTATTTTTGAAGTCCTGTTAAAAATTTTAATTACACGTACGTTAATACTTTTAGGATAATTTTTTTCATAAGGTATGGTTATATTTAGTAGCAGTATTTGTATAATACTTTAAAAAATAGAACATGTTTTTGTTAAGTATTTAGTTTATATTGCTCACAGTAACAAATACAGACAAATGAAAAAAAAATTCCAATGGGGAGGGGGCTTCAGCCCGAAATCTCCCCTCCCGCTGTAGATTTGCCAGTGCTTTCACGTACCATTATAGAATGGTGCGTAAGGCATTAAACATTAATGAAATGGTTTACAGTTGAACACAATCAATTACGATCTAGTGTACCTTTGATGGTTGTATGACTACAGACATTTGTTTTTTCTTGAATGAGAATATTGTTGAATTAGCACTATATCCACTAAAATGTCTTTGCCCTTTCCATTTAAATTATTTAAGGAGGGCCATCAACTTTATTTTGCACCCGCTTTCTCTGGAATGTATTTATAAAATTCTTTTATGTCGTTAAACTCAAAAATGAAAATAATTATTTAATATTTATCCATCCCCTAATCCTGACTGCTAGTGTTAACAATAAATTCATCGTTAATTCTAAATATCCTCAGTTTCAATCTCTGAGTGTCATTCCAACGAATATTAAAAAAAATGAATTATTTTTTAATCAATGAGAAAAACAAAATATATATTTAATTTACTGTTAGGATATTATAGATGATCCTAAAACAGCCATTTTCATATTTCACAGAAAAGTATTTCGGAATCGTTTGTATTCGTGTATTCCATATCTCGCATTTCAATAAGGTATACAGGATTTTCAAGTTGTGTCCCTTTTCTAGCTCTTTTATCTTAGTTATTTTAGGAGCCTTAATTTATAACAAATAAACCAGAAATAAATACTGCAGAAGAGAATAGCTGTTCATTCAGACTTTTCCTGGTGGGGATTAAGATTGAGAAAAGAACCATAGAAATCGGTTTAAGAATGGAGAAGTTGCGAATGGACATACATTTAAAAAAAGTAGTATTGGGAACGTCCTTTTTTTCGTTGATAAAAAAAGAAACTATGTTTCTTTATTATTTTTTGTTTCTACCCCGGCCCTTACTAAAGTTTCTTAGTATAATATAATATTATTATCATTAAGTTGCTCAACGATCTTAAACGGGCCTGGGCCTCAGAAACCAGCTTCCATATGTCAAAGATAGCGAGTTAGGGATTTATTAAAAAAACATAACTGACTTTAAAAGAGTTATTATTTTATAGTTCGTTTATTTATTTATTTTTTCTTTATTTCGTTTTTGGGGAGATTTTTTTCCCTTCTTACATAACTGTAATTATTCTGGAAGAAAAAAAAATGAAATTATGTAAAATGATGTTTAAGATGTCCTTGAAGGAATCCAATTAAAAAAAACCAAAAGGAAAAAAAAAAAAAACGTAATTGAGGAACAATAATGCTTTTATGGGTTGGTTTTGCTTTATACATGCTTACATTAATGATGGTTTCATTTAGAAACAGCAGATATTGTAATTTTTTAAGTGTTTAGCTCGAATATTTCTTTCTCTTTTTTTTTTTTGTTTTTGGTCCACCCCTATGCCACCCTTTTATGCCAGAGTTAAAAGCCCCCAGGCATCGGAATGCGAACTCGTAATTATTTTATATTTTATTAACTTCGGGTTATCAGTCACTGGTTGGCCGGATACCTACACGCATTAGTCCGCTCGACCACTCCGCCCTCATTTAGCTCGGATCGTTAATAGAACCAAATTTGGACTAATGAACTTTTCCATTCGGGGAGGAGGGCGGTGCTTCACCCGAAAGCCCTCCTCCTTCCCCTGTAAATCCTGCTGTAATTCTTGCTTTTATTTCGGCTTACATTTTGTTGTGATCAGTCAGGACCACTCCCAGGTGTTTAATGTTTTTCGCCTTAATTGAATTTAAATTCTTTGGGAAATGGTGCTGATTAATTTGTATAATAGATATAGTTTAAATGAACAACGACACGTGCCACCTCACGTTTAATCTTTGATAGTAATTGCTTGGACATGGATGAGTTAATGCATCTTTATGAGCTATTAGCTCTTCCTTCGATGGAACTACCACGTGGAATACTTAGTATACTTATCCCTTACTAGAAACAAGGCTTCATTGAAGAATATATAAAATCTCTTTTATTAATTATATTTTTTTATTTACACGATACAATTCGTTTTCATTCAATTCATATCAACTCTTCCCCCCTCCCCACCCTCAATATTCATTGGTACATATTTGTTTGTGTGAATGATCTAAATACTAAAAAAATCCCAATATATTCTATTTTTAAGTTATAATCCATAACAGCTGCCTAATGTAAGTACGTGTCCAGAAAAATATAAGATTTTAATTTTTATCTAAAAGCATTATTGTTCCTGTGATAATTATTTTATTTATTTTTACCTTCAAGGATCATTTAACACCATCATGTTATATGTAATATAGTTATATTACGTGGTTTAAGTCTTAACAACAACCATCTAGCAAAATTGCATGTTTCGAATTATACAGTGTGTCTAATGTCGAAGTTTTTAGTAACCAAACTATGGAGGGCGATTCTAGACAAAATTTTCAATATAAAGGTTCATTTGATGGATGGGCCAATTCCGAAAAGAAAAGAAGTTAAGACCAATTTTTTGTTTTTAAGGAAAGTATTGCGATCGAGTCAAATTTCCGATATGCGGTTTTCGAGAAATCTTTACGTTTCAGAACCCCCTAATGCATATGACACAAATTGGGTGCTCCATGTGCAGTAGTTTGCGCAATAATGAAAAAGATGTTTTTCTATAGATTGTAGTGCAAAAACGGCTCTAACGATTTCGATGAAACTTTCCTATAATGTTCTACAAATTATCCTTTCAATTTTCGTACATGTACTAAATTCCCGAGAAAATTCAGGAAAAAAGTTATAAAGAAAAGAAAAATGTTTTGAAGTCTAACTCGTATACATATTCCCTACAATACTATATAAAAATCGTTAATTTCGGACAACTATTGACGAAGTTACAGCTATTCGATTTCCAATGTAAGATTATGGGTTCCTATCCTGATGTCAGAAAGGGATGAATGAGAGAGGAAAAAGACAACTAAGTGGAAGTAAGAAAATCTGTTGCTCGCATCACACAAGCTTCACTGTTCCCTCCACTTTTAACAGAAATTATTGTGTGACAAAATTAGGCTATGGCAAAAAGTTATTGATCAGCATTATTAGAGGGTATTGAAATTGTTACAGTTTATCTACCTTAAACCGGTTTACGTTGCTTTAGTTTATCAAATTAATCGTACTCAAATCTTTTGTTTGATAAATTTTCAGGAAAATAAATCTTAATGGACATATGTAATGGTATAAAAACTTTTCTGAAATAGGTAGGAAATTCGTGTGAGTGGACACACCAGATTTTTTTTTTAGAACTGTGGATAAATTTACTAAGGCTAGTGTTGCCCAAATGCGAGACCGAGACGAGTCTTGGTCTTGCAAACTCAGTCTTGTTCTAGTCCTTGGTCTTGCGTAAGACTCTCGTAACAGTCTTGCAGTTACCTATTAGCTTATTACTATAGAGATATTACTGTAATTTTTCAGATATGAGAAACCTAACTAAGTCAAAATTTACATTTAGTAACTAAAATTGTCAAGTATTTTGAACTATTTTGTCTCAATTTTTATTCAAAAAATCTTGCAACAGATAGGTGGTGTTGCTCTTGGTCTTTCAATTTGCAAGGCCAAGACCGATTTTGGGCAACACTAAGGCAATGATAAAACGGACTTTCAGGTAGAGACGGGAAAATGCTTCTCTGAGCACTGAGTAGTCGGTGTTTTACTCAAATACTGACCTCTTTTGAGTACCAAAGAATTTAATTACTACTTCAGTTGATGTCAATCGATTAACTGAAGTTGTGATTGAATTTCCAATAGTGATTCAATTTGAGTAAAATACTTGGTTGTCGGTAGTCAAAGTAGCATCTGCCCATATCTGCTTTCAGGAGGTCTAATACAGCCTAATCTGAACTACTGCAGTTAAATTACAGTACCTATAGACATTTATCAGTACTCATACTCGACTAGCATTTCTCTGTGATCCCGATTCGTGAAATAATTCGGCATAATGGTCGGCTTTGCGTTATTAGATCTCCTCGAAGTCCGTTTTATCATTGACCTTAGTAAATTTAATCACTGTTTTCTCAAAGAAAATTTTATCTACTTTACGATAGTGTATTTAGAATTTAAATATCTTTAACGGTTTGTGACCAATTCCTTCTTATTCAATAAAAAACCTCACAACCTTAAGAAAAAACACAATATTGATCTTGACTCCTTTTCCGTACTCAATCTGTTCATGCATTGAATGAACTTTTATGTTGGAAAATATGTCTAGAATCACCTCCCAGAGTTTGGCTATTAAAAAATGAGACACCCTGTGTATCAAGCCAAACTATAATTGATGAGTCATAAGGAATATTTGGGAATTTATTCGGAAATTCTTACCTTCCACCATTTTTCCGTCCTTCTGGAATTCATAAATAATACTTATTTTAAATAAATGGTAAATTTATATTTATAAATAACGTTGCACAATATTGCGCAATGTCACAACTTTATGATATTTTTATTATTCAATAATCTATGAGTATTTTGTGTCTGAGTATTTAACCTAGATTGAATTATAAAATAATTGGTATAAGTACCATTATTTGAAAATACAGTTCCCAATACTTCAGCCTGTATTATGAGCGTGTAATGGATATCTAGCTTGGATTCCAGTTGTTGAAAAGTGCACGCTATTGTGGCAAACTGACCCAAATCCATAATCTAGTGGTATGTCATTATCAGGAGTCCTAGTTTCGGCCCTATTAAAGCTATTATGAACTAAATGCAAGAAGAGGGGGGGGGGAATAATCGATCCTGAGGCATACTTAGGCTGTTTATAATAAGGATCTGATCCTGAAAATAAATCAGGTGAAAAATAAAGTGATTATGCCTGATAGATGATAGATAGATAGATAGGAAATTAACTTTATTCTGGGACGAGGTCCCATATGGATAATAATTATGAAAAAAAAAATATAAACCACATCTAGCCAAAAATTACACTAATCAACATAAAGGAATATATACAGTATCTTCAGTAAAAGTATATTAAAACAAATAAAAATAACACCATTTTGTAAAAAAAACATTACTCAAAATCAAAAGAAAACAGAAATCAGGTAAAAATAAATATCAAAATAATATAAACATGGATTGATTTTAAAAATTAATTAAATTAAAATTAAAAATTAAATTAAATTAAAATTAAAAATCAAACAATTTCAACAACCATTCACATGGCGGATTAGGCATGACGGATATCAGATGGAAAAGAATTCCAGAAGGCAGTGGATCGGGCAATAAAGGAATATTCAAATGTCTTAGTTCAATGGGAAGGGATATAGAGGTCGGAAACACGGGATCTTGTTTTCTGGGAATGGATCATGGGTTTGAACTGTAGGAGACTTTAGATGTAGGAAGTGTGTCGGGTGTTGATAGTTTAGAATAGGAAAGATCCAAGGAAATATTGTCTGCGGAAAGAACGGAAGAGCCACTTTAACTCGTCGTAAAGGTGGGACACACGAGACAGCCTGGAAGTACCGAAGACAAATTTTAAGAAGGAATTCATGAGTCCCTTCAATCTATCCTCGAGTACCATAGGGATGCCTCCGTACACCATACAGTAGTCAAAGTGGGAGAAAATAAAAGAGGATACAAGGAGCTTGCGGATGGGTTGTGAGAGTGATACTGATCATATTTCGAGCAGTACTGAAAGTTGCTGAGTAGGGTTAAACAAGTGGGGACCCTGAGCAGTAAAAATTTCTAGGGTTCCTAAAAAAAAAACGTTTCCAGAAAATTCCGATATACAGAAAACTCAAGAGTGCAACTTAGAGACCATACATTAAATAGAAAAAACCTGGTGTGTCCATCCACACAATTTGTCTACCGATTTTCTACAAATCCATACAATTTTAAATGTGTCCATTAAAAAATAAAATAAATAAATTATAGTAATTGTCCTAATAATCGGTCAGAGAAATGATAAGATTACGATTTCTTTGATGAACTAAAGCAGTGTAAGCCTGAACCATCATTAAAATCTGTTTATAAAATTCAGTATACTGTAACTTAGCTAAAACTGTCCGATTTTAACGATTTTTTTATTTATTAATTTAAATAATCAACCCCTGTAATTTAACAAGAAAAAAAATTAAAGTAACTCGAAATTTGAGGTTTCACGTTTCAAGATACATAGAATCCAATAATCGAATTAAAAAAGCTGTAAGCCGTCCACGTCTTTTCTCCGAAACTACTAGACCCATGGTTTTGAGATTCGGTATCAATGTCAAAGGGCAACTGAGCATGATCCTCGAAACTTGTCATTACCCTTTTCTTTCAATATGGCGTCCGAAAGTAATAAAAATGCTAAAAAGCTTGGATGAATGGTTTTTTAAATATTTAAAAAAAAACAAATAACTTTACATTTCTTGAAAAAAATCAAATAAAAAATAAGGCCGCTTTGGATATAAAGTTATTTTCACACAAATTTTTAAAATATTTATGTTGGGGTTTGAAAAGAATTAATTGTATTGTATTATTGCTAGGACTCAGAGGGTTTTTTAATATCTCTATTCTCCCCTCCCCCCCCAAAAAAAAATGATTAGGGTTATTTTTGGAAATAAGCAACCCGATTTAAAACCACCATTCACAATTGCTCTCGAGCTGTACCAATTAAGTGGTTTTATTGAGCCTATCGAAAGATCGAAGATAAGAACTGAATCTTCTAAATGGAAAAAGTATTAAGAGGTGCTCAGGCTTTTATAGAGAGGATTGCATTTATAAAAAATAAAATTCTTCAGAAGATGAATAGGATAAATTGATCATTATTTATATATTCAAGGAGACTCGTCTGTTTTACTCGCGTCTTTTTTTTTAATTGTTATCTTGGCTAAAGGTAATTCTAGTAATGTTAGAATCATGTGCTCAGTTCTTACCTCTGAACTTTAAAGTAAAAGATGGTGTTGGAGGTGGGAAGGGGTGATAGCCTTTCGAATGTAACCCCTGGGCATTCCCTTTTAATATGTTTAATATGGGAAGAGAGAGATGGGTTTGTTTCGATTAATTCTCTTGATATCCCGATCATAAGGGTGGTATGAGTAGTTGTTCCTCTTGAACATCCCTTTTTTTTATTTTTTTTTATTTATTCATGATATTTACAACTGTATTAAAAAATTAAATACATTAAGTAAATTTGATAACAGGAAATAATAACATGAAATGACTTGTTGAGAAACTACCCACTGGTAGCACTCTAAAAAAAAAATGTATTTACAATAAGAGATCTCGAAGCCATCTTCTTTTCAGACGCCTCGGAGGGTTATCAGAAATAGGAGAGGAAGCAAGGTTGGAGGCAAGAGGATTCGGATGGTTCTGAAGTTTGTTATGGAAGGATTGGTATCTGGATTGGGCCAAATCGGAAACATAAAGAACATTAAGGTCATTGTGGATTATTTTATTGGTGGCAAAGTAAGGAGCATTGAGGATTTTCCGAAGGATTTTGGATTGTAAGGATTGGATACGAGAGGAATTCGATGGCTTAGTGGAGCCCCGAAGCTCAACTCCGTAAGTCCAAAAGGTCTTATTGTAGTCATGTATATAAGTCTTTTGTAATTAACTGGAAGCTTAGAGCGTTTGTCTAGTAAGTGTTGGAGTAATCGGAAACGTCGAGCGGTTTCTTGTCGTTTCAATCTGGTATGTGGATTCCAAGTTAGACGTTTGTCCTAGTGAAGTCCAAGGTATCGGATTTGTTCAACAGGGATAAGTGGGGTATTATTAAAGGATACTGTGGGGCATGAGGTCATAGGTTTACGTCTAACATCTCTTAAAAAAAAAAAAAAAAAAAAAAAAAAAGAATATTTTTATGCAACTCAAAAGATGGAAATAGGACCTCGTTCAGCCATTTTGTTTGCAGAAACGCAAACAAATTCTTCTCGCAAAATTCTCCTCTAAAATTTTGGTGGGAAAAGCGTTAAAAATTATCGATTGAGCACCGACTTAGTAAAGGAGGTAACGGGACGTTTTATAGATGGGTCTCGGCAATCAAACTAGCTAAAAGGAGCTCTTTTTAATAGATAAAAGTATTCCTTTTTGACGTAACGTTCTTCAAGTGGAGTTAGAGGAACGACTATGAATACTATTAAACATTGACCATTGACCAGTGATAATGTCATTTGTTGTACATAAAATAATCTGTTTAATTTGATCTTATGGATTGATAAAAGTAGGTAATGTAAGATAACACATAATATTCTTTCTGTATTCTATTGCTTATTGTTTTACCCTCAGGCTGACGTTGCACATAATCGCCTTTCCACAGACTTTTCTTCTCATAAATTTAGAAAAGTTAAAGTTTTTTTTATGTCAAATTCATGCTTTATACGTTAATACCACCTTTGTGCGAGCCTGGCCTTTAGAAATCTTGATAATTGACGAGACTGGAATGAAAAATAACAATTTAACGTATTAAAAGCCATAAGGAACACTGGTTTTTCTCATCTCTTTCTTCTGTCATTACTGTGTTTTTTAGGAATAATTTTTTAAATAAACGTTCAGAAATTATATTTATTGTTTGCAATTTAAGTTAGGCAAAACCTCAGAAACATGTTAAAAGCTTATTTGAAAACTACCGATTACTTTGTGAACACTGCTTTGGAGTCAGTTCAAATCCTGTGTTATCTTCATTATAATTCAATTGGCGGCATTGCTCATCAGGGGTACCCATCTCCCCTAAGATCAATGGCGCAAGAACCTACCCCCTCCTAATTCCAAGATATTTTATTCCTCATCTTTTCATACGAATAGAGCATGCGAATCTAGAATTAGAAAAATCGTAGATCATACCCGATTACACTTGCTGCGGTCTGTTCCACCTTTTCTTCTTGCCCTTTATTCTGAAACTTTTCATTACGAAAATTCATAATACCATGTTGAAATTTGCCCCCTCAAAAATCAAAAACACTTCGAAATATGCCACCCTTAAGAAGTTTGATGGCGCAACTTGCGCCATGAAATCCTCTTCTGGACACCACTGATGCTCATTGGAAAAGAATGGAACTGTTTCATTTGGCAGTCATTAGCTTCTTAGTATGAATCACAATGCGGTTGTTTGGGGGTGGAAACAGAATAATTTAATAAATAAAGAAATGAAAATGCCTTGTTCTAGCTGGTTCTATAAATTTATTTCGATTTTAAAGTAACAATTTGATGAAGTTGAAAACTTATGTTATTTAATTTTTGTATTTGTTATGCACGCAAAGTTATGAGAAAGTACTACTTTTTACTATTTATATATTTAATGATTTAAGGTTTCTGAATCATAAATAAATCTGAATAAGGTATCCTGCACAACTATTATGTGAAATTGTATTTGTTTTTATATATGTGTGCATCCAGATTTGGAGAAGAATTTATCCTACGTGTTATCAAATTACTTAATTATAAAATTACTACTCTAGCCGACACATAGGGCCGTGGGCATTGCGACTGGTGGGAGAGGTGAGAGGGGCGCTACGAAACAGAGACTAAAATATAAAAAATATATAATACTTTTAAAAAATCTTATTTCGATGTTCTTTCTACTTTTTAACTCATTCCTTTTCATCTGTGCTTGGATCTTTATACACGACAAGCGGAATAATTATTTTTAATCTCAGTTCCACGTCCTCTTGGATAAATTACATGCTAGCGAGAGATTTAGCGGTCGTGTATGGAAGTGCAAAAGTATAATCAAGTTAAATAAATATAACCCGCAAGCATGAGAAAATATACTACAGGCCAAGTTCGAGGTATAAGGGGGGAATCTGTTATAATTCCCTCCCGGGCGCCAAAAACTCACGTGACGGCCCTGCCGCCACGCGATCACTACTACAGGCTCAATGCAAATCATTTATGTTCACGAAGTTGTTGGTCAATATTCGATAGATTCTCGAATATCTTTCGTGGATGGTTAGTATACCACCACTTCACCAAGTTAAAATATTAATTTTTTATATGTATTAAAGTCTTTTGGTTTACTTTTTCGCTAAAACCAGACATTTTTCTCCTTTTTTTTTCTTTTTTACGTCCGTAACCAATCCATTTTTATGCATATTCCATTAATATAAAAATTCATAATACTTATTACGAGAAATGTATGATTAATGTAAATGAGATTATCATATATACTTTTGCCTATGCATATATACAATAGATGCCTATAAGATTAGGTTAAAAAAATTATTTTATTTTATTTTTTATATAATTGACTAATCGAAGTGAATTTTTTAAATAATCTCGTTAAATCGATAAGTAAGATATTTGTTTTAGTTTAGAGGAACAGTGCCGACCTTAGGGCCGGGCAACGTATTTACAAACCTCTCACGGATTCAGATACCCTGTTTGTACTTGTACTCCTCTAAGGTTTGTGATGGCTTTGGGAACTGGCCTATTACAAACATTATATATATGTATATATAATATCAATTTTACACGACTTTCCCAGCGAAATTTTAAACGAGTTTCCTAGCGGGCAGGCAGAGTTGAGTTGTCTGAATCCGTGTAGGGTTTGTAATGGGCCAGACCCCAGCCATGGCCACTTCAAACCCTAGACCAGTAAAAACAGGATGTCTGAATCCGTATAGGGTTCTAGTCCTGGAGCCAGGGCCCAAAAATCGACCTGATAGCAGACGAAGGTTTGGTTGTAAATTACGAAAATGAATGTTATTACAGAGTAAAGACTTGTCTGTGTTCCGAGCCACTGACTTTAAAAAATAGGTCTTCTAGTTTAACTAAAGAGGCCATACTTTGAGGATCGAATGGAGTCATTGCGAAAAATGTAAGAAAGTTTTTTATTTTTTTTAACTTGTAATATGGGTTTAGCTTGTTAGAAAACAAAAATAATACTAACGGTGCCACTTCAGTTGGTACTCAGTTGACGAAAATTTTGATGCTCTACCGTTTGATTCTATTGATTTTTCTTTAAGGTAACTATTTCAAGTACAGCGCATTTAATAGTAATTGTCTCAGTTTTCGACAAAATTGGGTTTAAAATAGCGTTTGTGAGTGGTTTTATAAGCTTACTGCGTACACAAAAATTATAAAGTTTATGTAACTTGTTTGACGCCAAATTTTAAACGTTTTTTAATTTATTACAATTCATTTTTCGCTTTTGATGTATCTTTAAGGAGTTATAGGAAAGAAAAATATCGAGAAATTGACTTTTTTACTGTGAAAAGTTTCTCTTGGTGGGACCCGCTTTAGAATTTTGTTTTTTACTTGTCTAAACCATATTACAGTTAACAAATAAAACCTTTTTGACATTTTTTGCAAAGGATTTCAGTTTCGATTCAAATTACTGGCTATTATTCTTTAAATCAGCCTTCATTTTATAGACGCAGGCTCTGGACCGAACAAGGTTCTTTTTATCAGATTAACATACATTTTCGAAAGTTGACAATCAAGGCTCTATCGCCTGCGATCAGGTCGAATTTTTGTGTGCTCGGTTTCAGGGTATTTCGTTAAATTACGGCAGCAGAGCGCGATCATCAGGGACATTCTCCACTTGTTAAGAATTTTGTAAAAATATATGTATTAAATGTATTAATTTTAGCCTTTTAATAAAACAACTGTATTAGAGAAATATTGAATGAAATAAAATTTAAATATTACATAATATAAAATAGCCTGAGAAATAAATTTAATTTTTTTAGGGAGGGGAGATGAAGTCATTGCCCGGGAGCGCCAAATGTCTAAGGCCGGCACTGAGGACACATGGAACAAACCACTGCGAATGTAATTGTATGTAATCAATTTTTTTTGTAATTCTGCTTTCCCTAACACTGTTTTAAGTATTGATAGTTATACAATTTCTTGCGGGAGGGGTATGCGACAACGTCTTAGGGAAGAATGGGTATGGCTATTATATTCCTGCAACCTTGTAATTAAAAGGGGATCTAAGTTGCATCAAGTATAGGGTTTCGTTTTATTTTTATTGTTATGGGATGTAACTGAGATGCAAAATCTAAATTTTCGACCTCTGCAGTCTCAATTTTTCGAATATCGCAAAAACTACAAAATTTTTGCATTTTTATAGACTTTTTTCCATTTTCTCATGAAGGAGAACCTTTTATATAAAAAATATTGTATACATTTTTGAGCTGGATTAAATTAACTACAGTTTGAGATCAGAATAAGGCTAGGTAATAGTAATAAATTATATCTAGTTTAAAAATGTATTGATTGTTTTTGTCAAAATGAGATAGAATGAATAACCTATCAAAGACAGAAAGGTTAGCAGTTTTGGGGATATTCAAAAGTGATTTGGGGAGAGGGGGGGAGGGCTATCGTGGTCGAAAACTTGGATTTTACATCTCAGTCAGATCCAATAAAACAAAAAAATAAATAAACCTTTTCTCACCACTCGATGCAACTTGAAATGTACTAGGTTACTGAACTATTAATGTCACATCTTTGGTTTCGATTGAAATATCACTCACACCTACTAATGTTATTATCTATATATTTTTTTATTCACCTAACAAATATTCTCATTTCAAATAATATCTTGTTTAATTTTTTTAGGGTGAATCAGATATCTTTAATATCTTAATTATTATTATTTTTTTTTAAATTCAGGTCTAGCATGGTGAAAAATGCCAAAAAAGGTTTAAAACGAGAAATACCTTTCTCCTTTTAATCTTAGCCGACGTAGTACTTAATCCTTTCAATTATTTATTTTTTGGTGAAATTTTATTATCTTTCTCTTTTACCATTAATCAGATATGGGGACGAGCATATAGGACCAGAGTTATATCCAAAAACCGCGACATAGTTGTTTTTTATTGTAATATTAAAAAATATATATAGTTTAAATTGCCTTTTGATCAGATGATTAACATTTCTACGAAAATATTGCAAAAATAACTAATTGAACGCAATATTATTAAACGAAAAACCTTTTATGTATGAAATGTCTCTGTTTATATATCGAATTAATAAAACAAGTACTAATGCTTTTATAAACATTGTGATCTCTAAGAGAACCATTTAAAAAAAAAATGTTTCCACAATGTTTTTCACATTGCTTTTGCCGAATCATTATTTAAATGTGTCATCATTCTTTGGATGTGTCATCATTCATTATTTAAAGGAACAATATAGTTAATGTACTCAAAAATTTAAAAGCCCACTCTTAATGCACACTTGCTTCATTTTTTGCTGAGTTTCGTCATTTTTAAGATTGAAACTGGGTCAAATGATTTATACAAACAATAATAAGTAGGTCTCTCAACTAAAATAAATATGGCATCTCATTTATCATGTAGTTATCGTACTTAATAATTATTAATTCTGCATTACGATTTATTGTATAATATAGCAGCATACTATGCTCTAAAATCTAGCTAAATATTTCACCGATTGGACTAATTTTTACTAATATCTAATGTATCTTATTGCAGTTTTTAAACAAAGAGATTAAGATGCATAAGTTATAATAGCAAATGAAGTTTTAAAAAAATTGAGTTTCTTCACAAATGCATTATTAGTTTCACCCGAATTTAATAGTAAGTTAATAAATTGGTGTCTTTATGTCGAGATAAATTAATTTTTAATAAAAAAAAGTAATAAATAAATTGAAAACTGTATTTTTAATGGTAGAGAAATTGTTGACCATAGATCATATTTAGCAGAAATAGATGTTTTTTTTTACTGGCTCTATGAGTTTTACAATTTACTGATACTCCTCAAGTTTAACTACTAAATAATTCAAACTTTTTGCGGGTGATATCGGTTGTTATTGCTTGTATTAAACAAATGAAAAAAACAAACTATTTTTCCTCTGATAAATAATTTTTTTAATTTGTTTACCTTGATTTTAACTACGTATATAAAAGATATTCATTTATTAAGTTTAGGTGAAACAATGAAGCATTTTACAAACTAATGATGCATCTTTCAAGAAAGTCATTTCTTTTTTCTTTTATTTTTGAGGACCAGTGTAATTTAACCTAATTGCTATTTTTTTTTTATTTTTTTTTTTTTTTTTTTATTTTTTTTTTTTTTTTATTCCCTACCTCCCAGGAATTTTTTGATTACAATACATATTATTATATATATATATATATATATATATATATATATATGTTATATATACATTAATTTTTCAATTTCCTTTTATTGCCCAAGGGCATTTTAAGGTAAGAAGGCTCTGCACGCTGTATGCGTTCTTTGCATCTATGGCCAGAGGCCTTTAGATGCAATTGCTAATTGCTATCACAATTTTAATATATTTGAGCTTATATTTGAACTTCGGTTTAGTTATAGTACACGTTTATGAAACTTTGTTTTTTAAGTTTCAAGCTTCATTGTTGAAAACTGAACATTCCAAAATGAAGCAAAGAATAAGATATATGAGGTGTTTATAAAAATGGTTGGAGGTGTTTATAATTTTTTTTAGCTAGATCTGAGATGAGGTATATAAACCGAAGTGCACAATTAATAATCAATAAATTCGATAACTGCGCGATCCACGACGGTATTTTAAATTTTATTTTAGTTGTGACATTGTTTATATAAGCCATTTAACACAATTATCCTCTTAAAAAATGATGAAACCCAGTCAATGAAACAAGACTGAGAGTGGGCTTTTTAAGGGTTTTGAGGTCATTAACTGTATTGTTCGCATTATTGTTGAAGGATGAGACATTGCAAAATATATATTATTAATAAACAATTATCAAACGACTCTTACAGTAAAATTTTTTGCGTCCTTAAACATTCTTAGATACGAATCGGTGTTAAAGATAAAAAAAAAAATGTTTATACTTGGATTATTATAGAGTTTTTTTTTCGTGCCTCCTAAAGTATGCATCTTACTAACTCCTAAGGATTTTCTCCTAATTCAAAGTTACTACAACCGTTTTAAAGTTAAGTTAGTGCTCTTCAAAAATATATAAATAACTTTTAGATTTTATGCCTTTATAATTTAAAGAATAAATAAAATTACTCAAACGTTTTTATTTTATAATTTGTAATTTGTAACTAAACCGACGATACGGACAACTATACCGGCTACTAAACAGAAAATCTAAACTTTCCATTGAAATCAAGTTATTGATCTACAAGACAATACTGAAACCTGTCTGGACTTACGGAGTTGAACTGTGGGGAAGAGCAAAATTTTCTAACATCAAACGCACCCAATCCTTCCAATCCAAAGTCCTTCGAACAATAGTCGATGCTCCTTTCTATGTAACCAACAAAACCCTACACCATGACCTTAATATCCCATTTGTCCTAGACTTTATCCCATCAAAATTCTCCAAATTCCACCAGAACCTTACCCATCATCCAAATCCCTTTGCTCAATCTCTATCCAGCACCACCCATCCATATAATCCTCCAAGGAGATCGAAACGGCAGTGGCCCCGCGACCTTTTATAGTTTATAAATATTGGAATTCTGGCATTGGCCAGATTCTCCACTCACGACATGAGTTTATGTGGCTTAAGCACTCTTGCTCACTCTCCACTGGGTTTAGTCCCAGTGACGCGGTTGAGAGAGAAGTGCAGGGATCTCCTGGAGTCATGCTTTTCCCTCCACAGTTGGACGGACAAGTCTGGTTTGGAGTTCTCTCGCCAGATTGTAAATATAGGTATATATGTGTTCTTTTTATTCATTTATTTTTAGGTTATTTTATTCTTATTTATTATATATATATATATATATATATATATATATATTTTATTTTTCTGTATGATTTATTTTATTTACTGTACATAGAGTATGAATGTGATCTGTGAACACTATTATAAATGTCCTTGAGACAGATTGTAATATTTTTCAATACATAAGTTTAAAAAAAAATTTGTAATTTTTGTTCTAATTTGTTTATGGAAGTATGGTTTGCGCCATTTCTTTTAGTTTTCAGAGCCCTGAACCCTGGTAATTTTCGTTTGGATTGGTTAAAGTTATCACGATTTTTGTGATTTTGGAAAAAAAAATCAAAGCCTGTGGAGAGTAAAAATTTTTAATTTTCGGTTGATATGAAAACTCGGGAGGAGGGTGAGGGGGGGAGGGTGGGAAGAGGGGCTAGAGGGACGATCGCTCCCTCAACAAAAATAGGCGAGAATATCGTTTGGCCCTCCCAATAATTTGAAGTAAACAAAAAATTGATGACAAATAACATTCATGAAGGAATAAAATATGTAAACTAAAATTGTTAAGAAAATTCGACCAGCTGGCTAGACCAAGGCCATGTAAGTAATAGTATATACGTAACTATTTTCTCACGACATAAATATTCCTATTATACAAATTTTCATTTATATTCAGGGATGATTATATAGAAACATTTCCTAGGATTTTATGATTCATTCATCTCTACGTACACCTCCTTTCTCCACGTGATTTTCTTATTACTTTTATACGATAAAGTTGGAAAAATATACCTAATAAGTATAAGAATATATTATAGAGAATATTTTTATAGACAGTTTTATATTATAGACAGACTATTTTTTTTTTAGTTTGTGCAAAGTAAGAAATCAAAAATATTTTTCATTTTTTTAACATTATTCATTTTTAGCTGGAAAAGATATAGAAATGTACCAATTTTATGAAGGCTGTTCCCCTTCCTTTCATATTAAATGTATACAAATCTTAATAAATCCAATCGTTCTGTCCAGATATTTTCAAGTATATCAATATGCACATAAAAAGGTTCTATGATTTCCAAACAAATATATAAATTTATTTTTAAATATTTAATATTATATGTGCTCTTTTCACAATGATTA